AGTCAAAGTGAGTTGGGAGAAGAAAACTGGAATTACCCATTTTCATGGGTGAAGATCCTTACGGGTGGATCTTTAGAATTGAAAGGTATTTTTCTCTGAATGGAATTCCTGATGATGGAAAATTAACAGCGGCGGCAGTGTGCATGGAAGGGGAAGCCATTAACTGGTATCAGTGATGGAAGTCAGAGCACCTGTAACATCGTGGCCATCATTTAAACTTGCTTTAATTCAGAGATTCAGCGGATCTCAAGAGAGTAACCCTTATGAAACTCTAATGGCCCTAAAGCAAAACAGTACAGTCGCTGATTACAGAAGAAGATTCGAAGCTGTAGCTGCTTTGTTGGTGGAAGAGAAGGAAGAGATCCTGAACGCTGCGTTTCTGAATGGGTTAAAGGCAGAAATTCGGCTGAGCTGAGGTTGATCCAGCCCATTTCTCTTCTCAAACAATAGAAAGAGCCCACAGAGTAGAGGAACGTAACTGGGCTTTAGAAGAACTGAAGCAGGTCCAGCAAGAGCCAATAGGTGGAATGGGCCAGGATTAAATGTCGGGTCAAACCATTTGGGATCCAGGAGTTTTAACCCGATATCCCCCCGACCCGGAGATTCAATTAAAGCCCCAAATTTGACGAATCCCTAAAATCGAACTCCTTCTCAAATTCTTCCTCAAATTCATTCTCCAATTTCTCAAATCCTGGGCGAAGAAACGCAGAAGGTACTGTCGTGGGTTCATCCATGAATTCCTCTCCTCGCGAATACACTTCGACAAACTTCAGATACTTCGACAGAACCATCCACCGCGACGGAATTTCCCTGAAAGATGACGGAGGCCGAAATACAGAGGAAAAGAGAAAAAGGGTTGTGTTTCAAGTGTGATGGGAAGTATTTCTTTGGCCATAAGTGTGGTGAGAAGCAATTTCAAGTAATCCTCGGTGGATGAGGAAGAAGAAGAATTGGATCCAGGGACATGGAAACCAGTGAAGGAACGACGACAGAACAAACCCAAGGTAATGTTGAACTTTCCCTTAGCTCGGTTGTGGGAATCAATGGCCCGAAAACGATGAAGTTGAAGGGCAGTATTATGGGTCAGGAGGTTATTACTTGATTGACAGTGGGGCTTCCCACAATTTCATTAGCCGAGAGTTGGTTGAGAAGCTGGGTATTGCTGTAGAAAGAACACAGGCGTTTGGAGTGAGAGTTGGTGATGGATATAAAGTCCGATGTGAGGAGAGTGTAAAGCAGTATGTTGGGAGTCCAGAGGGTACAAATAACTCAAGATTTTTTTTCCCTTTGAAATGAGTAGTGCAGATGTAGTTAGGCATGGCTTGGCTTGAAACATTAGGGAAACCACAATGAATTGGAGGCAGCAGGTGATGAAATTTAAATTAGGTGAGGAAACGGTGACAATTGTAGGGGATCCTGCACTTAGCAAAACAATGGTTTCCTTGAAAGCCATGATCCGAACATTGAGAAGTGAGGGAAATGGTTACATGGTTGAATTGGGCAGCTGCAAAAACAGTCAGAGACGAAGAGATCAAGGTCAGTAATACGCTGTTTCCAGTGTTAGAAACTTTCAGATCCGTATTTGAGTCTACCAGATTTACCTCCTAGCAGACCCCAAGACCATGCAATTAGGTTACTGCCAGATGCCCAACCCCAAACCTTAGGCCTTATAGATATCCGTTTTACCAGAAAAACGAAATTGAGAAAATCATTGGGAGATGTTAGCCTCAGGACTTATAAGCCTAGTATTAGTCCTTTTTCCAGTCAGTGTGTTGGTTAAGAAAAAAGATGGGGTTGGAGATTTTGTGTAGACTATAGGGCACTCAATAAAGTGACCATTCCCGACCGATTTCCCATTCCAGCCATTGATGAACTGTTCGATGAACTTGGGGGAGCTGAGGTATTTTCCAAGCTGGACTTAAAGTCGGTTACATCAAATCAGAGTGCGCTCTGAAGACACGCACAAGACGGCTTTTCGCACTCATGAAGGGCATTACGAATTCCTTGTTATGCCTTTCGGATTGACCAACGCCCCATCCACATTTCAAGCTTTGATGAACGAGGTATTCAGGTCTTATCTTCGGAAATTTATTCTGGTTTTTTTTGATGATATTCTTGTGTACAGCCAGTCAATGGAAGACCACATGCAGCACCTCAGTCTCACATTTCAGAGCTACAGGAACACCAATTAGTGGCCAACCAAAAGAATGTTCCTTCGGGCACCCAATTAGATATTTGGGCCATGTTATTTCAGCAAACGGATTGGCTGTGGATCCCTCTAAAATTGAGAGTATCGTCGACTGGCCCCGTCCAAAAGATATTAAACACTCAGAGGGTTCCTTGGACTGACCGGATACTACAGACGGTTTGTCAAAGGATACGGTAAATCGCACTTCCCTTGACTAACCTGTTGAAAAAGGATGCTTTGTTTGGGTGAGCAACCCAGGCCGCATTTGAAGCTCTAAAATCTGCCTTGACCAGTGTACCAGTGCTACGATGCCGGATTTCTCTAAACAGTTTGTTATTGAACAGACGCATCAGGATGTGGGTGGGAGCTGTCTTAATGCAGGAAGGTAGGCCTTTGCATTCTTAGTAAAGGACTGTCAGCCAATTCGAAACTCAAATCGTTTATGAAAGAGAATTGAGGCTATTGTATTAGCAGTACAGAAGTGGCGACATTATTTGTTAGGCCGACGCTTCCTTATCAGAACTGATCAAAAAGCCTCCATTTCCTTACTGAACAGAGGTTGCTGAATGAAGACCAACAGAAATGGGTGTTAAAACTGCTCGGGTTACAGTTTGAATACAGTATCGGCCCGGCCAGAGAACAAAGCTGCTGATGCCTTATCCAGGCGGCCAGAGAGTGTGGAAATTAACGCCATCTCAATGGGTTTTTTCGGAGGGTTGGAGGAATTGGAAGAGACCATCAAAAAGATGACAAGTTGCGTCAGCTCACCCAGCAACTTGTGGTCGACCCTCATTGCCATCCTCCTTTCAAGCTAATGGGTAGACACTTATGTATCATAACAGGTTAGTTGTTCGAAACAAGGCCCCCATATTCAAAAACTTTTGCATGATTCCACTCATCCCCGATCGGCGGTCACTCTGGATTTTTCAGAACTTACAAAAGGCTGATGAATGTGTTTTATTGGGATGGAATGAAGAGGGATATCCAGACGTATGTGAACTCCTGCAGTGGTGTGTCAACAGAATAAATATGAAGCACTGCGGCCAGGGATTGTTACAGCCTCTCCCTATTCCCGTTCAGGTTTGGAAGACATTTCTATGGACTTTATAGTGGGACTCCCAAAAGTGCACAATGTGGATACTATCCTGGTGGTGGTCGACAGACTCACTAAATAAAGTCATTTCCTCACACTCAAACACCCTTTTACAGCAAAGGAAGTAGCACAGCCTTCATAAAGATATAGTTAAGCTTCAGGGTTTCCACGAACGATCGTGTGGATCGCGATCGGGTGTTTATGAGCCATTTTTGGGAGAATTGTTCAAGCAGGCTGGAACTAAACTTCATTGAGCTCGGCTTATCATCCGCAAACGGATGGGCAAACGGAGGTTGTTAATAGGTGTTTAGAAACTTATCTCCGCTGTTTTGTAGGAAATCAGCCTCGGCAGTGGCCTCACTGGATTCGTGGGCAGAATTCTGGTTCAACACTACCTATAGTAGCTCACGGGCATGAGCCCTTTTAAAGCATTATATGGCGCGATCCTCCAGCATTGCTGAATAACACAGACCATAACTCTCGGTGGATGAAGTTAATCAACAAATGCAGACCGCAACAGCATTTTACTTGAGCTTAAGGAGAACCTGCACAAAGCTCAAAACCGCATGACAACTTCGCCAATGCAAAGAGAAGGGATGTCCAGTTTGAAGTGGGTGAATCTGCCTACCTGAAGCTACAGCCTTACCGTCTGAAATCTCTAGCTTGCCGCAGTAATGAAAAGCAAGTCCCAGGTTTTATGGCCCCTACCAAGTCTTGAGAAAATTGGTTTAGCCGCTTACAGGTTAGACCTACCAGAAACTGCCCGTATCCATAATGTATTTCATGTGTCTCAACTCAAAAAGGTCAATTTTCCATCACCCCATATTCAGCCTCTTCCGGATTCACTGAATGAGGATTTGGTCTTAGTGGTTCATCCAGAGGAAGTGCTCAAGCTCGCAGGTTAATCAAGGGGACAGGGAGGTTCTGTTTAAGTGGACAGGGTTACCCCACCATGAGAACACTTGGGAGGAATATGACACCCTGAATTTGCAATTTCCTTCATTCCACCTTGAGGACAAGGTGGCTCTCCTTCGGGAGGGTATGATACAACACGCGAAGTGCGGGTGTATAAGAAGCGTGGGAAGGAGCACCAGGGATCAATAATATTAAAACAAGCAACTAAAGTGTGAAGGAAGGTAGTGGGACAGGTGGCGAAAGATATGGAGGAAGGGTAAATTCTGTTAGTAGAAGAATGAATAAAAGGAGCAGAGAAGGGAAATAGGCATCGAGAAAGAAGTGAGGAAAAGGGGAGGTGCTGGCCCTCGAAGTCCAGCATATCAGTTTCTATTACGTTCTAGCTTGGTTTCTCTTATTTTCAGTGTAGTTAATTAAACCCAGTAGTTCTTATTTGAGAGATGGTCTAGAGGGGTGTAAACAGAATTATTAATGAAATACTTCTCTTATGTTATTTGGAACTCTAGAGGTTGCTAAAATTGTTGTTTGTTTCGGTTATGAGCTATTGTATGTGTGAGTGATTGAGAAATCTGGGTAGGTTCGCAACACCGCGCCACCCAAACACGACAACATTGGCAGAACTTGCTAGAAATCAGCAAAGAAGAGAGAAAAGGAAACAAAAAAAAAAAGGTTAGCTGACCTGAAATGCAGCTCCTTTCTTGCGTTGATTGGATGATGATTACTTGTGAGATAAATACATGATTACCTCTTTGCAAACTTATGGAAGTCCCAGTTTATAAATCAAACTTGTGTTAAGATACCCAAGCATCGCAAACTCATGCCTTAGCATCATTTCCCGCAGCCTTTTCTCAACGGTCTGCATTTTATATGTAAATGAGCTCCAAAAAAGTATTTAAATGTGGAGAAAGATTTAAGTAACTAATAGTATAAGGCGGACAAAGACAAAAGAGAAAATGTTACGATACAATGTCTTTCCACATTTATATGTGCTCTTAAAAACAACTATTCGGATGGGGGGAGAACCCTCATAGCGAAATTGCGGTTAATGAAATAAATAAGAACTGGAACAAACAAAAATGAGACATAATATAATTACAGAATATATGTAAGCTTTCACTAACTTTTCCTAAGGTTTGGCTCAATTTTAAAGAAGTGTTTTTTTCTTTTTTTTTTTTCTTTTCAACAAAGCCTCCATATGAAGGTTTCTGCTGGTATTATACAATGTGTGTATTGGCAGTTCTCTATATTTATGGGAAGAAATAAAAAGATTTTATCACGATGCTTGGATTAATGAGATAAGTCAAGCTTTCTGCTAAGAACTCATTATATTTGAAAACTGAAACCTACACAACAAAGAAAGAGCACCTTATCTTGTTAAAATCCAGATTTCAAGCATCACTAAGTTCTATTTCTTTCCGATCATTATACAACAAATGTGGTGGGAACAAGGGATGCACGTAATCATCAACTCTCTTATATCCAACAAAAATAAGTCTTATTTATAGGCTAAAGAACCAAATCCAATTCTAATCCATACGGCAATGAACTATGGAATATTCTAATCCTAATTAAACAAAGAACAATGAAATAAAAGACTGAAATAACTAAGACACTCAATCCTAAAACATGAAAGATAAGAACTAAATATCCCTTTGCATCGTATATGCTCTAGAACAGCTTCCTAGCTGAGAAGGTTGGCTTGGTATTTAGGGGCTTCCAAGTTCTAGTTCATCCACACGAAAATGAGGTATTTGAGAAATGGCAAATGTTGTGGAGGATTGGTTGTGGAAATAGTCAAAACGAACCATTTCGTTCTATTTAAAGCAGAAATTAAGTAAAAGAATCTAGATTTATACCAGCATTCTATGTCATGAAGATATCTGGTTAAATGGAAAGAGACGAGCTGATTGACAATGATATTAGCCACACATATAAGGGTCTTAGTGTTTTGCTATCTAGCCTTAGCTCGATTGATTATTGAGAATAAAGAAAACTTCCCCATTCAATTTTCTCTTCTCACTTCTCTAATTCCTCCCCTTGCTTTTCTATTCCATCATTTCATAGGTTTCTTATTTTCTTCCTCAAATTTTCTCTCCTGACTTCTGTTCCTCCCTTTCTTTTTCTTTCATGATCCTCATATGTTCCCTATTGTAACACTAGAGGATATGTGGACAGTTTGTCCTTGGTATTAGGAAAATTTGTTATTCTCTTGTAAAATCCCTTTACATAATTCAACTATGCTTTTTCATAGCATATAACAAAGATCATTTATAAAACAGAAAAGAAGCAATTACACCACAAGTAACACAATAGCAAGTCACAGAAAGCAATAAAAGTTCCTCTACTTTTTATATAACGGAACTGGAAAACTGTTGTCAGATGATTTCTTTAGGTTTTGGCCATTTTATTGGTGGTAATGAATTGGAAAACTTGACTATACATGGCCATTCTCATAACTTTACTGTTTTTCACACCATGATCTGAAAAGGGAAAAAAAAGTAATGGCAAGAGGAGTGCATCACTATAAAATAAAAAATTAAAAAATAAGCAAAAAATAAACTCAAGCAATTATTTCATTTCACGCATAAACATCCTGAAAAGGTAAAAATTCTAGAAAATAAACAATTATTCATTTCTCATACAACAAATAGATAACCAGGCATGAGAACCAATTCTGGCTCTAAATTAAAAAGACGAATTCAACTAGTAAAGATCACAGTGGTCGAGAAAGGAGAAATAAGTAATAAAAAAAAATAAAAATTCTTTTAAGAATATATCCACGACTTTAAATTGCCTAGGTCCATAAAAATTCATTAAAATTCATTTTAACCCAATGAATTATGGCCAAATAAATGAAAAATACACCAAGTGGAAATACCTGAGTTCGATTTTCGAATGCGCCCATCTGATTGAATAGAGACATGAGGAAGCATAATCAATTGCGCTCATCTATACTGTATATCGCATGACCGCATATACATCCAATTTGTCTTTGCTTGGTAACCAAAATCAAATAATATGACTCCAAAAACTTAATGCAACCTTTACAAAATGAAGAAAAAAAAAAAAGAACTCAATTATGTACTGAATGCACAGAAATAATAATATATAGTAATAATAGAAATATAAGGTCTTTAACCCCGCCCACCCCTCCTAAATAAAAAGACCTCTTGTTCCTGTCACTCCCAATTAAATTGAAGCAGGTTTTTGATTTCCTGAGGGGGAATAAACCACCGTATCCTCGTTGATATTTAGATCAGACGGCTCTGATAGATCAATTTTCAACACGAAAAAACCTCTTGTTCCTGTCACTCCCAATTAAATAGAACCTTGCTCAAAAACACCAAACTCAATTCAGTTGAATAGCCCTTAGTTTATCAATTATTTGAAAATTACAGTTAAAAGAACCCTCACGCTCTGCTCTCTAAAGCTTGAACTTCTCAAGGGAGCAGGAATTGGGGTCTATCTCGGGGTGGATTTTTGCGGAAGAGGAAGCATATGCAGGCAAATGAGATTTCGCCATTGAAATAAGCTTCATACTGATCTTGTCGGCTACAGATTTTGTTTATAGGATTCCAATTCCATGGTGAAGGGATTTCAACGGTCGGGTTAATTACATTTTGAAGTCGTCACACTATTACATTTTAAAAGTGTTAATGTTATCTTATACCATTTTTATCACATAAGATTCTGTAATATGTTACAATCAAACAAAATTTAATTATTATAAATTTTTAATATTATAATAAAATTATTATTGATAAATAGTCATGAAGTAAAAGAATGGCATAAAATACTGGTGATATATTACTGTTTAAAGTTAGACCAAATTACATTTCCCACCCCTAATTTCAAACCATCTGTTCCACCCAATTTTTAAAATTCAAATATTATGCTTAACCGTCAAAGGTATTTAAATCTTTTTATGCAATATATATAAACTTGATAAATAAATAAAAACTTAAATCAACCATAATCTCCTCATTATTTTTTTAAATTAGAAAAATAATCCAAAAACAGTGTTTATACAAAAAAAGAACAAAATTGAAAGTTTATATATTCATTTTTGGTATTTGTGAGTATCCGGCCGGACTAGTTTGCGCAAACCTCTTAAATAATACACTCAAAAGTCTTAAGCGAACTGTCAAGTATTTTAAAGGTATTATGAAAGTTTAATGTTGATGATGTGAAAGTTTGATTTTGTATCACCCGGAAAACATTTTTATCATAAATAGGACACAAATTTAGAAGAGATAATAAGAAGACATTTAAAAATCTATTACTTTGACCGAAATTTTTTAAATTATTTTAATATATATGTAGATGATTAATCTTTTCAAAATTAATATATTAATTCAAGGCCTTATAATGTAATTATAATATTACATATAAAGGCCTTTTTCTAAGTCTATTTGGAGCAAGATCCTTATGCTTGCTGACCTCGACTATGGGTTAGACCTTGGCATGATTACATCCCCATTTGGCAAGGAAATCGAAAGGTAAGAGTCTAAAATTCACTTTGGGTAGGCTTGTTTAGGGGCTACGGTTTATTGGATTTGAGGGAGCAAAATTCGCGAATTTTTAGGGTGACTATAAGGATTCCTTCACACCTAATCGATGTTATCAAAAGTGTTGTGAGAGACAAAGCTATGGACCTTAGGAATGTCAAAGCATCCTACATCAATAGGAAGTTGGCGAATGATTGGGGCCTCCCTAGATCTATTTTCAAAGACATTCCTCAAGTTCTCGACACCGTTTGAAGAACTGGATTACTGAGGTTTATGCAGAATGGTTTTTGCTTGGTTGTATTTGTATCATTTGTAAAGAGTTTGATCTCATATTTTCTTTTCATGATCCTAACCTAGGGAGGTGTCCTATGGTAAGTGAAATTTTTGTGTGTTCTCTTGCTTTCTCTTGGTGTTTATCTCCCTATGTGGTTTCAGATAACCCCAAGAGTGGATGGCCATTGTAGGCTTGTTTCTTTTGATTCCTATTTTCAGGGCATGTCCCAAAATAGGATGGTTGCCTTTTATTAGGCCTTTGTACATTCTTCTCTTTTTTAATATTATTACTTACTTAAAAAAAAAAACAAAAAAAAAAAAAAAAAAAGACAAGAAAGGCCAAGAGAAACAAACAACCAAGACAGGAAAAGGGCCCTCGGCATATTGGGGGGCAGCCCCTTTTACTCAAAAAATGGTGTTCGAATTTAAAAATGGGAAGTGAAGGCATTAGTTATGTGCCAATTTGGGTCAAATTTAGTGGAGTGCCATTGGAGTTTTGGACTACTAAAGGGTTGAGCTATGTTGCGAGTGCTATTGGAAAACCTCTTTATATGGATAACATTACGGATGTTGGGGATAGATTGGAGTATGCAAGAGTTTGTGTTGAAATATACACATCTACTTCATTCCCGAATTCAGTGGAACTTGGCCTCCCAAATAGTGATTGTGTGAACATAGGGGTGGAGTATTCTTGGAAACCGAGGGTCTGCCCTTCGTGTAGAACTTTTAGGCACAATTTGAAGGAATCTCACTTGGCCCCTAGAATTAAGAAGGAAAGTGCCGAGAACAAGAACTTGACTTTAACTCAAGAATGGCGAATGGTGACTAAGAGGAAGGAGAATGTGTCAAAGGACATGGTTGTGCAAGGAGAGAAAGTGGGCGAGAGCTCTAGCCGCAAAAAAGAGTAGCCCATCGATGAGTCGAGAGACACGGTTAGTAAAACAAAACCCTCCAATAATCAATTTGTGGTTCTTAGTTCGGGGAATAGGCTGGATAATGGGGAAGTGGGTGTCGAAGAGGGTAATGAGAATGTTGAAGGTAGGTTTGGAAAAGATAAGGGTGAAATGAGTGGGGTTGATGTTCCTACGGGACTGATCTTAATAGAGTTTATAATCGAGGTGCGTGTGATGATAGGAGTAAGTGTGTTAAGGGGAATGAATGTGGGGTGAGTGTTCCTAACATAGAAGAGAGTTGATTGGAAGTAAGCAAGATGTTGAATGTTTTGAGTGCTGGTGACAACAGAGGAGAAATAACCCCACCTAGGGGACCCTTGATGGAAAACCATGAGGGGTGTGAAATGGGGTCTACTTCACCGGCTATTGTGAGATTCGGAAATTTGATTCGAGTCGATGAAAAGGATGGTCTTAAGGAAGGAAATAGAAGTCTTTCTAAAAGCCAAAAGAGGAAATTAGCCAGGAAGGCGAGAGAAGCTCCTAACGCCAAGCCATCCCATGATTAAGCTTGCTTCGTGGAATGTAAGGGGTCTTAATTCCCCTTTGAAACAAAAAGAGGTTAGACATCTAATCTCTTCCAATAAAATTGCAAATTGTGGTATTTTGGAAACTAGAGTTCGTGAACCAAATTTTGAGGTTACTAAGTCCTTGACATTTGAGGGATGAGATGTAATTCATAACTATGTGTGCTGCCCTAATGGTAGAATTTGGGTTGCTTGGAATCCTAGTTTAGTGAGGTTCGAAATCATACAATCTATGACTCAAGCCATCCATGGTAAGGTTGTTATTTTGGACTCTAATTACTTCTTTGTTTGCTCATTTGTCTATGGCACTAATGGTCCACTGGAAAGGAAAGAATTATGGAGAGACTTAATGGGTAAAGCTCAAGATTTTGAGGAAATACCATGGGTGATTATGGGTGATTTCAATGCGATGAGATTTGGGCATGAGAAAATAGGGGGTTCTTATAGGTGGAGAAATTATGTTTCGGACTTGAATAATATGTGTAATGAGACTAGGCTTGAGGACTTTCGATTTATGGGTAACTTTTTCACTTGGAGTAATATGAGAGAAGGGGAACATAGGATTACTACTAAGATTGATCGAGTTCTTTTGAATGAAAAGTGGGGCAATGTGTTTGGTAATTCCATATCCAATTTCCTTCCCCCAAGCATTTCAGACCATTCTCCTTGTATTGTTGAATGTGAGGTTATGTCTTCACCTAGGAAAATCCCATTTCGATTCTTAAACTTTTGGGCTCACCATGAAAGTTTCATTAGCATTGTTAGTAAGGCTTGGGAATAAGAAGTTAGGGGTACCCCTATGTATCAATTGGTTACTAAACTGAAGAGAGTCAAAGAAGCATTAAAAGTGTGTAACAAGAGGGAGTTTGGGAATATCTCGGCAAGAGTTATTGAAGCTAGAGAAAACCTCCTAAGGGTCCAGCATGCTCTTGCTTCTAATCCTCTTGAAGAGAACTTTATTCTTGAGGAAAAAGCCAAAGCTTTGAATTTTAAATCTTTAAGTCAAGTTGAGGAGTCTTTAGCTAGGCAAAAATCTAGAGTGCAATGGCTTAGAGAGGGTGACCAGAACACAAGCTACTTCTTCAAGTGTGTGAATGGCCAAAAGAATAGAAATAGAATCACCAAGCTTAGGAGTGATAACGGCATGGTTTTTGAAGACCCTTTGAACATTAGGGAGGAAATTGTCAGCCACTTTAAAAGAGTATTTGAGCAGCTGACGGGTGTGAGGGATTTTCGGGGTTTAGAGGAACTTATTGAACCTTGCATCACCAGTGATATGGCTAATGGGATGATTGCCGAAGTGACGGATGGGAAATCAAGAACACTCTGTTTTCTTTGGGCAATAACAAAGCTCCTGGACCGGATAGTTTTGGTGCTTGTTTCTTCAAGAAAGCTTGGGATGTGGTGGGAAAAGATGTGATTATGGCTATTAAAGACTTCTTCCAAGAGGGCAAGCTTTTTAAAGAGGTAAATTGTACTTCAATTACTCTTATTCCCAAGTGTGATAATGCTTCTTTCTGTAAGGACTATATGCCCATTTCTTGCTGCAACATTATTTATAAATGTATCACCAAAATCATTGCTAATAGAATTAAGAGTGCTTTACCTCTCTTTATTGACCCGACACAAGCAGCCTTTGTTGGTGATAGGAGAATAGGAGATAATATCCTCTTATGCCAAGAGCTGGTGCATAACTACAATCAAGCTTCGGCCAAGGAGAAAAAGTGTGCCTTGAAAGTTGATTTAATGAAGGCTTATGACTCGATTAATTGGGAGTTTCTCTTACAAGTCTTAAAGAATTTTGGATTCCCGAGTGTACTTGTCAATTGGATATCCAAATGCATCACTACTCCTAGGTTCTCGGTGGTTATCAATTGGGAGTTGGTGGGTTTCTTTGGGAGCTCTAGAGGGCTGAGACAAGGGGATCCCTTATCCCCTTACTTGTTTGTTATTGCTATGGAGGTTCTCTCTCAGCTCTTGAATAGAGTGGCGGCTAATCCGAACTTTAGTTTTCATTAAAGATGCAAGAAAATGGGGCTGACTCATCTTTGTTTCACAAAAGATCTCATGTTTTTTTGTAAAGCCGAAGGTACTTCTCTGTCTCTCCTTAAGAATGCTTTAATTACCTTTGAAAGTTGGTCAGGATTGAGTGCAAATCCCAATAAGAGCAATATCTTCCTTTCTAGTGTGAGTGACAATGAAAAGATGGAGCTCTTAAGTTTGATAGGTTTTGTCGAGGGTACTCTTCCCATCAAATACTTAGGTGTACCCGTTATTACCTCTAAGCTAACCTTTGGGGATTGTCGACCTCTCTTGGATAAAATCTTGGCTCGGGTTGCCTCTTGAAGAAGTAGGTTTTTATACTATGCAGGAAGGATTATTTTGATTAAGTCCATTCTTTTGAGTATCCAAATTTATTGGTCGTCTTTCTTTATTCTTCCTTCTAAAATTCAAAAGGAAATTGATGTTAGTTTGAGAGCTTTTCTTTGGTCTGGAGTTGATATGAATAGACCCAAAGCTAGAATAGCTTGGGAGGAGGTATGTATACCCAAAAAAGAAGGCAGGCTTGGGTTTATGAAATGTAAGGAATGGAACCTCGCAGCTTCTTTAAGACATATTTGGAACTTGCGCAATCATAGAAACCCTACTTTGTGGGTCTCTAGGGTCCCAATTCATCTTTTGAGAAATATAAGCATTTGGGACATAAGCATTCCCCAAAATTGTACATGGTCATGGAGACATGTCCTCAAAAAGAGGGAAATGGCTAGAAAGAATATCAAATGTAACATTGGCAATGGTAACACCACCTCTTTTTGGTTTGATAATTGGCACCCCGAACGGCCCCTTGTTTGCATCTATAGGGAAAGGATTATTTATGATGCATGGATTACTAAGGATGCTAAGGTGAGTTCTGTGATTGATGGATGCAATTGGAAGTGGCCAAGTGCCAATTCTTGTGCTCTTATTAACATGAGGAATTCTGTGAATTTCACACCTTCTAATGTTAACAACAAGATTTTTTGGATACCCTCACCTTCGGGGGATTTCTCTACCAAATCAGCTTGGGAGCCTATTAGAGGAAGAAGAGCAAAACTTGAGTGGTGTGACTTGGTATGGTTCTCAAAGGCTATTCCAAGATACTCTATGATCTTATGGATGGCTATAAAGGAGAGATTACCTACAAAGGACAGATTGATGAGGTATGGAGCTACTACTAACGCTCATTGTTGCTTTTGTAACTCATCTATGGAATCTCTTGACCACTTACTTTTTGCATGCCCTTTTTCTAAGTCTATTTGGAGCAAGATACTTATGCTTGCTGACCTTGGCTATGTGGTTAGACCTTGGCATGATTACATCCCCCATTTGGCAAGGAAATCAAAAGGTAAGAGTCTAAAATTCACTTTGGGTAGGCTTTGTTTAGGGGCTACGGTTTATTGGATTTGGAGGGAGCGAAATTCGTGAAGTTTTAGCGGTGACTATAAGGATTCCTTTACCATAATTGATGCTATCAAAAGTGTTGTGAGAGACAAAGATATGGACCTTATGAATGTCAAAGTATCCTACAGCAATAGGAAGTTGGCGAATGATTGGGGCCTCCCTAGATCTATTTTCAAAGACGTTCCTCAAGTTCTCGACACCATTTGAAGAGTGGATTACAGAGGGTTACACATAATGGTTTTTGCTTGGTTGTATTTGTATCATTTGTAAAGAGTTTGATCTTGTGTTTTTCTTTCAATGATCCTAACCTAGGGAGGTGTCCTATGGTAGGTGGAATTTTTGGTGTTCTCTTTGCTTTCTTCTTGGTGTTTATCTCCCTATGTGGTTTCAGATAAACCCCAAGAGCAGATGGCCATTTGTAGGCTTGTTTCTTTTGTTGCCTATTTTCGGAGCATGTCCCAAAATAGGTTGATTGCCTTTTATTAGGCCTTTGTACATTCTTTTTTTTTTTTTTTTAATATTATTACTTACTTAACAAATAAATAAATAAATAAACCCAAATAAAACCCCCAAACACAGCGAAGAAGAACTGAAACGTAACAAACTAAAAAGGTTAACAAAAACAAATAAGCAAAGTGCAGGTTGGTGAAAGAAAATGTGAAAAGAAAAGTAATGGAAATGATGAAGGTGATGGGTTCGAGGGACAGGTGATGTTTAATGGTAAAAGTGGAGGATAGAGGATGAGAGTGGAGAGAGGGGTGGCAGAAAAACATGGAAAGAGGGCTGGTTTCTAATCCTAGCGAGAAGAGAGAGAATTTTCTCTCACTAACAATTTTTTCATTTCTATCACATTTAACAACACATAAACTTTAATTTATTGCTACTAATAAAATTCCTTACCTCTTTTTGTATAATGGGGGAATTAAGCCCCCTAACATTCCACGCGACAAATTTAACCATGGCTAAAAGGTAGCTTAGGTGGAGTTCTCGCCTTCTTCGCTGTTTCTTCCTTTGATTCTTATAAAAGGCTTCACTTGTGAGAATATTGGAGCTGGCTCTAAATGTAATTAACTTTTTTTTTTCATATATTTTTTATTTTCTTTTTTCATGATGAATGGTAGGTAAATTATCAAGATATTCATGGAAGAATTCTCATTCCTTTCTTCTTTTGCCGTTTGATCAAAACTAGAAAAACAGAGAACTCCTTCTTGTTGCTGAGGACGTGGAAAGTGATGCACTAGATATGCTCACTCTCAACAAGCATCATACTGGTCTTAAGGTGATTTATTGGCTTTCCTTTGAAGTTACTTATCTAGGCATACAACATTAGATGGTGCATAATGTTATTGTTTGAAGATTTCGATAGATTGAAATGCTATCAACGTGTTTGTATATGTACACACTCATAGCCACAACCAGATGATGTTATTCTGTGTTCAGAATATATTTGCCAGCCCACACGAGATTGTTACACTAAAAGTCACAAACAATCCCTTGCCTAATGTTGGTAATGCCAATTGAAGGGCGTTTACTATTATACTGATGAATTTATGATTTTAGGTATGTGCTATTAAGGCTCTTGGTTTTGGGGAGAACAGACGAGCAAATCTAGATGATCTCACTATTCTAACTAGTGGAGAGTTGATAGAGTTTTCCGATTTTCAATTTGTGTTTCCCCCTTTTAGTAGTGCTTATGATAGCATGATTAACTATTTAATGTGTAGGTTATCTCTGAAGAACATGGCCTAACTCTCAATAAAGTCAAAGTAGAAATGCTTGGCACTGTAAAAAAGGTTGGTATATAGGCTTATGGTGTACTACAAGTGTTTTTTGTAATACAGTTGACACAGTTTATACCAGGTCACTGTCTCTGTTGATGACACTATCATTCTACATATTGGTAGGGATAAGAAGTTGATTGAAGAGAGATGCGAGCAGATACGCTGGTGGTTGCTTATGTTCCGTTTGTTGACTTTTTCCTTAAAAGCTTTTTCTTCAGTCAAATAAATAGAACCTTTTATTCTTCACTCAATTTGCAAATATAGATTGTATGAGAGAAACAAGTATCTTTATGGAAGTTACACTGGCTTTATAACATTTTACAGCTGATGGTTGCTATGTCATTATTGTTGCTGCTAATAAAGCGTTATTCTAAATACTGGGCACATTATTTTGTCATTATGTTTTCCTATTATTAATCACTAATTGTACAAGCCTTACAGGCATAACAGTAAGGGGTTAAATAGGTTGTATACTTTGCTTTTTCAATTGTAATACATTGACCAATGTACTTTTTCTCAAATACTTAATATATACGGGTGATTATTGTTTTATCTGCAGTAATATTTCTCATAAGAGGTTGAGGGTCCTCTTACTCTTTAGCCAGGAATTTTGTTGGGATTTGCAGCCCTTCATCACTCAATTCAAGTAACAATTCTGCTTATCATAAAAATATATGTGAATTTGATCTACATATACAATAAATTATTATATAACATAATTCACACTAATATTGCACTCTTCAATTTCCTTGTCGCATTTGTGATCGATAGTCTAGGATTCCGGATTGGTTTCTTTAAAGGTTCAATATTCCATAAAAAAGTATTAACTATTATGTAGTTTAAATTCACATATATTTTTATGGTAGGTGGAATTTTTGGTGTTCTCTTTGCTTTCTTCTTGGTGTTTATCTTCCTATGTGGTTTAAGATAAACCCCAAGAGCGGATGGCCGTTTGTAGGCTTGTTTCTTTTTATTCTTATTTTCGGGGCATGTCCCAAAATAGGTTGGTCGCCTTTTATTAGGCCTTTGTACATTCTTCTTTTTTTAATATAATTACTTACTTAAAAAAAAAAAAAACCGTCATGGCAATCAGGCTAATCCTCCTCCAGTGTATTATCTACCAATTCTGAAAAAGATTGAAAAATTTACTTGATTTAATTTGCTATTTGGGCATATGTTCTGAAATTTAATCTTTGACTTGCTCTTCCTTTTTTTTTCTTTTCACCTGGTTTCTTTGCTGCTGTAACATAATTAATTTGCTTTTGTGTGAGGTTCATCGTGCATTTTTTTTTCCATTGGACATTCTGATTCCTTATTTATTTGTTTAAAGCCTGCTACAAGTGACTTCATTGCCATGGACACTGGGAATTGCAGTCTGTGTTACATGAGGTGCATAATCAATCAGGTGTTCATCAAATAATTAATATACACAGGTGAATGTTGTTTTATGTGCAGCAATTTATCTTGCTAAGGTGTGTGATAATTGGCACCCAAGAGACCCTTTTAGGGATAGATATGGCAGCCGCATTGTGTATGATTCGTGGCTACATCATCTTGCTAAGGTGTGTGAGATTCAGGATGGGACAAGGTGGAGATGGCCAACGGCTAATTCTTGGGCTTTGATGGACATGAAGGATTCTATCGATTTTGATCCAAAGGAGGGCGAGGACGTGGTTGTTTGGAAGCCTAATGCATCCGGTAAGTTCTCTATAAAATCGGCTTGGGAGGTTACTCGTGTGCACCAACACCGAGTGGAGTGGCATCACCTCGTATGGTTCCCAAAAACTATTCCACGACACTCCATGATCACATGGTGACATTTAAGGATCGGCTTCAGACTAGGGACAAACTGATGAGGTATGGAATAGCTTCTAGCAATGTGTGTTGTTTTTGTAATCATGGGCAAGAAACGATCGATCATCTCTTTTTTGCTTGTCCTTTCACCCAAAGGATTTGGAACCGAATTCTTGAGCTCTCTTCCCTTGGGTATGTCACTCGGCCTTGGAACGATTATGTTGAGCACATAGCTAGTAGTTGGAGGAAGAATAAGCTAAAGTACTCTATAGGGAAGCTATGTTTGGGAGACACCATTTACTCTATTTGGAGAGAGAGGAATAGCCGGATTTTTGGTGAGGAATGCAAGGATGCACATATTCTCTACAACTCCATCAAGAATGTGGTGAGTGAGAGAGCTATGGACCTTAGCAAGATCATAAAGAATATTTACAATAGAAGACTTGCCGAGAAATGGGGTCTCCCCATGTCTATTTTTAAAACATCCTATGGGAGCTAATTATATAGTTTGTTGTTATGTGATGGGTTTTTTGTCGTGTAAGGGGATTTGGTTATATGACATCGCTGATTGTGCTAGAAGCGGCTACTTTGGCAATTGAAAGACTTGGGGTGTTGATCTAGTGCTTTGTCTTTATATCATTAACGGGCCCTACCTTGTTAATGTCCATGTTTATAGAATTCTTCTTGTTAATGCTTATGCACCTGGGTTTTGTATTCTGATACTTTTGAACCTAACCCAGGGCATGTCCTGTGGTAGGTGGGATTCATTGTATTCTTTAATCTCTGCTTGGTTCCATTCCTTTGAGAAGAGAAATGACAAAAAGAGAAGATTAGGGGTAGACATAGATAGTATCATTCCTTTGCTCCTAACCCAGGGCTTGTCCTGAAGTGGGTTGGCCGACTTTTAGGCCTTTTGTAAATTCTTTCTCCCTTCTATAAAAACTTACCCAAAAAGCAAAAAAACAAAAAAATTTATCTTTTAAATGATCTCATGAATTGAAGGTAATAAAAGAGATATGATAGGTTTCACATACAACTGACCTTTAATAATAGTGTCAATTTCCCTTTAATATGGGTGACTGTTATTTGTGTGCTGTAATTAGTTTCATTGAATTCGTTAATAATATTCTCATATTTGACCTTTTGGTAACATCAGGGATGCAGCTGGCTTTGTTGGTCCAACCACTGGCCCTTCCTTGTCCATCTGAGCCCGTACAGGTAAAGCATGAATGCTGCCTGAGTATAACTTTTGTTCAGACTAAAATCTCAGTGATTACTGCATTTGTTTGCAATTACCTCTACCAATGCATTTCGTCTCTTTAATACAACTTTTCTTGTTTCATAGATTGTGGACTTTGGAGAAAGTGGTCCAATTTGATGCTCTCGTTGCAAGAGCTACATAAATCCTTTCATGTAGTTCACTGACTTCATCTGTAACTTATGTCGTCAGTTTGAATATTACTGTATTTCTATGTTGAAGTATTGAGTAATTTGCTACAAAGTTATTTGTTATTGGTCTATGAAATGTGCGTTGCATTTGGGTTCCATTTTTCTATTCACCAATGCTTCCAATCTTTTTTTAGGCATGTTAACCCTGCTTTGTTCCTTAGTTACTGCTAATTTTCTCTTGGAAGTCGTTTAATGCCACCTATGAGATGGGTGAAATAGCTTAGTTATTTGCTATCAAGTATCATATATCATGATGTTTTATACTTGTCCTACGTTAGTGTTGAAATTCCTGATGTCTAGTTAGTAACTACTCTCTAGGATTTATTTGTTATTCCTTAAGTCAATGGTATTTAGTGTTTGCTGAACATATATCATGTAGCTAAAATGTTTTTCCTCAGACGTAAGTGTGAATGATGTGGGTGCAATAGCTTAGTTGTTTACTTTGAGTTTTTATAGAGGATAATGTTGTATGCTTATCATACATTCTTGTTGCTCTATTAATGGTTTGAATGGAAAAAGGTGTATAGCAAGGTTATATCCAATAGGAACTATGTGGCTAAGGACATAAATTTTGGAGTTGGAGTTCGGGCCGCATTGTTGCAAGGTGTATCCGAGGTTGCAGAAGCTGTGAAAGTTACAATGGGATCTAAGGTATCCATTCTTTCTTTTGTTTCCTGACAAATTATATTTTGATTAGTATAATATAGTTTTGATCCATTATAGTAAGGCTCAATATATATTGAGAATTTTCTTGTTTTCTTCTTAGTGTTTTCCATTCCCAATTCATTGATTCAGGGTTGTAATGTGATTATTGAGAAAAGTAGAGGGGATCTGGGGTCACAAAGGATGGTGTCACTGTGGCAAAAAACGTTAAAATCAAAGACAAGGCCAAGAATGTTGGTGCAGATCTTGTAAAGCAGGTCGCGAGTGCAACTAATACAGCCGCTGGAGATGGTTATTTCTTCTTACTATTTCTTGACATTATTTTGGTAACCTACTAGAATTTTTCATGGATTCATATGATTCCAGATGATGAGATGGGTTGAGTTATTTTTTGTTGGCAGATTGGCAAAGCAAAGCAACTTAAGAAAAAACATTACAAAACCTCGAGAAATCCTCACCTTTAAGTTGCTTGGGTTTTGCTTTCTTTTTTGAATTTAGTCTTTGAGTAATGTCCTGATTTTAACTTTCTTGAAGTTTACATGCACGAGTCAACTTGGAATGGCAGACATTTCTTTGGCTCTAATGACCGTTGTACCCTAATAGATTCTACGCATGCATGACTAGAAGAAAACCAGTATTTGTACAGCTAGCCATCAACTTTAAATGTTGGAAGTACAAAATTGAGTATTGTTTGGTCCTATCAATTTCGGTGGTTATATGATGATACTATTTCGCCTTAGTGTCTAGTATCAACTAACAGCCTTCAGAGGAGAGGTAATCTTTTTCAATATGGGATCTTGCACATCAGTTGAGTAGTTCTTCTCGCTGGAGATTTGCTACTAATCTCTTTTGCAGGTACAACTTGTGCTACTATCCTTACTCAGGCAATACTAACAGAAGGCTGCAAATTTGGAGGTGCTGGTGTAAATGTGATGGATTTACGCAGTGGTATTAACATGGCAGTTGATGCAGTCATAGTTGACTTAAAAGGCAAAGCGCAAATGATTAGTACCCTAGAAGAGATTACACAGGTAGTGGAATTTCTTTAAAAAAGTTATGTATAAGTTGTGTATGGTGAGAAGCATTGAGCTACGATATAATTNTTTCTTCACATCACTTAAGGGGTTCTTATTGCTGGAGATTTGCTACTTATCTCTTTTGCAGGTACAACTTGTGCAACTGTCTTGACTCAGGCAATACTAACAGAAGGATGCAAATTTGTAGCCGCTGGTGTAAATGTGATGGATTTACGCAGTGGTATTAACATTGCAGTTGATGCAGTCATATCTGACTTAAAAGGCAAAGCGCAAATGATTAGTACCCCAGAAGAGATTACACAGGTAGTGGAATTTCTTTAATATACTACGTATAAGTTGTGTATGGTGAGAAGCATTGAGCTACGATATAATTATAAGAAGTCTTACCTAGTCCAGAGTAGGAGACATTGATGATTTTTAACTTTCCCAAAATCTCTAACTTCTTCTTGTAAATGTGGTAAATGGTTGTAGCCTGGCTATGATTCTATTATCTTGTGTTTCATTTCGATAATTATAGCAAGATGAAGTGAATATAGGAGCAAATAGAGTTTTTAGAAACTATGCTAAAGATATATCTATCTTGATAAATTGAAAAATGTTAATTATTCGTATTTGCTTCTAGGTTTCAAAATCATTTTTTAATTAAACTTACTTTTTTGAATTTGCTTTTACTCTATGAATGCCACTCATTCTTACTTTTGTCTTTATCAATAGCAATTCAAATAAATTGGTATGTTATGAATAGGTTGCCACTATCTCTGCAAATGGTGAATGTGAGATTGGAGAATTGATAGCAAGAGCAATGGAAAAAGTTGGAAAGGAAGGAGTGATTACTGTTGCTGTAAGAACTTTTATTCCTTTAACTATATTATGCCATTTAACTTCTACAAATAGGTCAAGCTTATTCAAATTTTATAGGATGGAAATACTTTGGATAACGAGTTGGAAGTGGTGGAAGGAATGAAGCTCGGAAGAGGCTATATATCTCCATATTTTATTACTGATCAAAAGACACAGAAATGTGTAAGTTCCAGATCTTTGTCATTCTAAATGATGATTTTTACTTTCATCGATGGATTTCTTGCTGTATTGTGGTAAAATGAGGTATCCAGTATGAGTATGTGCTGATAATTTATTGTTAAATTGTTCCTTTTCTTTTCAAGTTTAGAAGATTGCTACTGACCCTTGGTTTCTTTTGAGGTTTCACTAGTTATGACTACTACATGAAGAATTCCATTTAACACCATAAAATTTTCCTTTACATAAAAGTAAGAGCTGAAATATTAAATGTTGTTATTCAAATGTTGCAGGAACTTGAAAATCCGTACATTCTCATTTGTGACAAGAAGATATCAGATATGAACTCACTTGTGAGAATATTGGAGCTGGCTCTAAATGTAATTAATTTTTTTTCTTATCTTTTTTATTTTCTTTTTTCACGATGAATGATAGGTAAATTATCAAGATATTCATGAGAGAATTCTCATTCCTTTCTTCTTTTGCTGTTCGATGAAAAACAGAAAAATAGAGAACTCCTTGTTGTGGCTGAGGATGTGGAAAGTGATGCACTAGCTATGCTCATTCTCAACAGGCATCATGCTGGTGTTAAGGTGATTAATTGGCTTTCCTTTGAAGTTACTTATATAGGCATACATCACTAGATGGTGCAAAATGTTATTGTTTGAAGATTTCGACATATTGAAATGCTATCGACGTGTTTGTATATGTACACACTCGTAGCCACAATCAGATGATGTTTTTTTTGTGTTCAAGAATATATTTGCCAGCCCACACGGGATTGTTATTGATGTTTTAATAAATTGCATATGTGAATACTAAAAATCACAAACAATCTCTTGCCTAATGTTGGTAATGCCAATTGAAGGACGTTTACTATTATACTGATGAATTTTATGATTTTAGGTTTGTGCTATCAAAGCTCCTGGTTTTGGGGAGAACAGACGAGCAAATCTAGATGATCTCGCTATTCTAACTGGTGGAGAGGTGATACAGTTTTCCAATATTCATTTTGTGTTTCCCCCTTCTAGTAGTGCTTATGATGACATGATTAACTATTTAATGTGTAGGTTATCTCTGAAGATCGTGGTCTAACTCTCGATAAAGTCAAAGTAGAAATGCTTGGCACTGCAAAAAAGGTTGGTATATAGGCTTATGGTGTGCTACAAGTGTTTTTTGTAATACAGCTGACACAGTTTATACCAGGTCACTGTCTCCGTTGATGACGCTATCATTCTACATGGTGGTGGGGATAAGAAGTTGATCGAAGAGAGATGCGAGCAGGTATGCTGGTGGTTGCTTATGTTCCCTTCATTGATTTTTTCCTTAAAAGTTTTTTCTTCAGTCAAATAAATAGAACCTTTTATTCTTCACTGAATTAGCAAATATAGATTGTATGACAGAAACAAATATCTTCCATAATTACTCACGCTTTATAATATTTTACAGCTGAGGACGGCCATGGAGAAGAGTGATGCCATGTTTGACAGGGAAAAAGCACAAGAACGACTTTCAAAGCTATCTGGTGGTGTTGCCGTTTTTAAGGTTAAATATTCATCTTACCAAATTCTTCCACTGATATATATCTTACAACCTCTTATGCAAGCATTCAATTTCTTTCAGGTTGGAGGGGCGAGTGAAGCAGAAGTTGGAGAGAGAAAAGACAGGGTCACAGATGCTCTAAATGCTACAAGAGCAGCAGTAGAAGAGGGTATTGTACCCGGTAAGTTGACTTATGTCTTGTGTGTTTTAATTATATATGTCTATGTATTACATTATTATTAATAGGTTTAATATGTGTATATTTCTTCTGTACTAAGAAAACATAACTGTTATTTAGGTGGTGGTGTTGCTCTCTTGTATGCAACCAAGTCTCTGGAGAACCTTCAAACTCAAAATGAAGACCAGAAAAGAGGCATCCAGATAATTCAGAATGCTCTTAAGGTCTAGTTTGTTGGATCTACTTTTTGTCAAAATTTTCATGGTTTTGGATGCAAATCTTTTCCTGACTGTATATATTGGTGTATTGTAGGCTCCTACTTATATAATAGCTTCAAATGCTGGTTTCGATGGTTCAGTTGTTGTTGGCAAATTATTGGACCAAGATGATCTTAATGTGGGCTTTGATGCTGCTAAAGGTTTGTTCCTGGTGATTTTATGAAATACAATATTCAGCCAGCCATATCATGCATGTTTCCCTAATTGTGGTTTCTCAAACTCCTCGCAACTTTCTTCGTTACTCCGCACAACATTAATAATTTCCTCATTAACCTATTGCTTTCTTGCCATGATATTTCCCTTCATCAGTTGCTTAAGCTGTGTAATGAATGTGCTAAAACAGGTTCATACATCAACATGGTGAAAGCCGGAATCATTGATCCTCTTAAAGTTATTAGAACTGCCTTAGTAGATGCTGCCAGGTGAAAATTATAATCTATTATCACCAAGTTGTGCATTGAACAACACTAGTATTTTAAGCCAAACTCTTGTGCTTTCCAATTGCAGTGTATCGCTGCTGTTGACGACAACTGAAGCAGCAGTCATGGAGAATCCTGATGACAAAAATAAGCTTCCAAATCGTATGCCAGCAATGGATGACATGGACTATTGATTACAAGTGTACAAGTTTCGAAAGGAACGATTTTAACATCAAATGTAACATTACTGAGGCATTGATACCCGGATTCAAGATTATGACACAGGCTGAATTACTTGCAGAGGTTTGAATTTTGACAGATGAAAGGGAGAAAAATGTGTTCAAGTACAATTTGGAATTCTTATGGTGAAGTATGGTTTAGAGTTAGACAAGAACATCGTAATTGTAAAACAAATCACAAATAAAACTGCCATTCTGAAATTGTGTAAACCTTACTAATATGTTTGGTCACTTTATGATGCTGTTCAGTGCCATTGTCACCTGAAGAGAATTTCTTAGTAAGGAGTACATAAAGATAGTGAAATTTTCGATAAAAATAATATTATGGTAACGTTGTTGCAGTGACTCAATAGGTCTTGTTGAGGTAACAATATCCTGAATCGATTTCCTATTTTTTTTTTTTTCTTAAATATCTCTACAACCCACTAAAATATATTCAAAATAAAAAACTTAATCAATATAAATTGAAAAGTTAATGACAATTAGGGATGGGAATGGTCCCCGAAATTTAGGGGACCTGCCTTGTCTTGTACGAGGCAAGGATTCCCGGTAATAGGCTGGGATGGATTCCTCATAAATTGGGACGGATAGATGTCTCTACGCTTTGTTTAAACCCCTTAAATTACATTAGTTTGGAGATTTTCTCCTCAGGTGGAATTTTTCCGTGTAGTCTAGGGTAGGGACGAGGCGAAGACAGGGAATGGGTTTAGGGGACGGAAAATGGGAAACCGGGCCCTATCTCGCCCCGTTCTCGTCCCTAGTTATTGCATCTACTGATCAACCTTTTTAAAGTTTAATTAAATAACAAAATATCCCTTTGAGTTTTAAAATAATAATTTTTTTGGTTCAGTAAACTTTTAATGAAATTATCATGAATTACCCTAAATATTTTTTGTTATTTTAGAAAATTTTAAGAATTTTTATTATTTAATATGATTTGAGGGATTAACTTAAAAAACATATAAACTAAATTCTGATATCTTATAAATCCGTGGCGCCACTATAAATACGAATTTATACAAATTTGTTGGCCATCTCGTGCTTCATATGCTTCATGCTGCTGCTTCTCTCCGTCTCGAGTCTCGCCGTTGGTTTTCAATAATTCCTCATCAAAATGATCTTCTTGATATTTTTGATCACTTTCTCCAACAATGCACGAAAATTCACCTCCTCAAACAAGTGCATGCGCAAGTCATTGTCAATGGATCCAGTAACTCCGCTTTCTTGGCGGCTAGAGTTACTTCGGTTTATGCTCGTTTCGGGCTTCTTTCTGATGCGCAAAACGTGTTTAAAACAACCCCAGTTCATTGTTTGTCGAGTTCTTTGTTGTGGAACTCTATATTGAGAGTGAATGTGTCAAATGGATGCTATGAGAACGCACTTCAACTGTATGTTGAAATGCGACAACGAGGGGTTTTGGGTGATGGGTTTACTTTCCCGCTCATTATAAGAGCTTGTAAATTAATGGGTAGTTATAGTTTTGGCAGGATTGTTCATAATCATGTTTTGCTAATGGGTTTTCAAGATAATGTTCATGTTGTGAATGAACTGATTGGAATGTATGCCAAAATGGGACGGATTGATTATTCGTGTAAGATGTTTGACAAAATGCGTGTCAGGAATCATGTTTCGTGGAATTCGATGGTTTCTGGTTTTGCATTGAACTATGATTGTGATGGTGCTCTTGACATGTTTCAGAGAATGGAATTTGAGGGATTGGAGCCAAACCTTGTAACATGGACTTCACTGTTGTCAAGCCATGCTCGATGCGGGCGGCTTGAAGATACTATTGGTTTGTTTGACAGGATGAGGATGAGAGGAATTGGAGTTAGTGCTGAAGCACTTGCTGTGGTGTTATCTGCTTGTGCTGATTTAGTTGCCTTTAAAAAGGGTATGGTCATTCATGGGTGTGTTTTAAAGGGTGGATTTGAAAATTACTTGTTTGTGAAGAATGCACTTATATGTGTGTATGGGAAGCATGGGGATGTAAAAGAGGCTGAGAAATTGTTTCTAGAAATGAAAGATAAGAATATAGTCAGTTGGAATGCTTTGATAACATCATATGCGGAGACTGGTTTATGCGATGAGGCACTTGCAATATTTCTGAAGTTGGAGAATTTAGATGATGGTTCAATGGAGAGACCTAATGTGATAAGTTGGAGTGCTGTAATTGGTGCTTTTGCTTCCAAGGGGAGAGGTGAGGAGTCTTTGTATCTTTTTCACAAAATGCAGAATGCCAAAGTCATGGCCAATTCTGTGACAATTTCTAGTGTTTTATCAGTTTGTGCTGAGCTAGCTGCACTGAATATTGGTAGGGAAATCCATGGCCATGTAGTTAGAGCTTTGATGGATACTAGTATTCTAGTGGTAAATGGCTTGCTCAATATGTACATGAAGTGTGGATGTCTTGGGAAAGGACGTTTACTATTTGAGAGAATTGACAGAAAGGACTTGATCTCATGGAACTCAATGATTACAGGGTATGGCATGAATGGACTTGGTGAAAATGCAATAGCAACTTTCAATCAGATGATTGAAGCTGGATTCAAACCAGATGGGGTCACGTTTGTTGCTCTTCTTTCTGCTTGTAGCCATGCTGGGCTTGTTGATGAAGGTCGTAGGCTTTTTGATATGATGGTCAAAGAGTTTAGGATTGAACCCCAGATGGAGCATTATGCTTGCATGGTTGATCTTCTTGGCCGTGCTGGGTTGATGCAAGATGCAAGTGACATTGTTAAAAATATACCAATAGAACCTAATGCTTGTGTTTGGGGAGCTCTTCTGAACTCATGTCGGATGCACAAAAATACAGATGTTGCGGATGCATTGGCTTCCCGAATCCTTAGTCAAAACATGGAGACAACTGGGAACTACATGCTACTTTCTAATATTTATGCTGCAAGTGGGAGGTGGGAGGATTCAGCGAGGGTGAGAATCTCAGCTAAAACAAAGGGTCTAAAGAAAGTTGCAGGGCAGAGTTGGATTGAGTTGCAGAACAAGGTTCATATGTTCTCATCAGGAAACAGTATGCAGTTGGATTTGAAGGAGGTTTGTGAAATTCTTGAGGAATTAGCCCGTCAAATGGAGAGTGAAGGCTATATAACTGATAAAAACATCATTGCAGAAGATGTAGAGGAAGAAATCATGGTAATCACGCTGTAAAAATAGTGAGACACTGGCTCTCACTCAAGGTTTTGAACCTGAACCAATTTCTTCTGAAAATGACGAGCTCTATTTTTTGGAGGTGCATTGTTTTGATCTAATCTGTAAATGGGTGGCACAAGGAGGATAGGCACCAAGTAGGCTAAACTGAATAGGGGTCATGTTATATTATTCAATCAATTTCATTCAAGTGTAACCATTAATTTTCTTTGCATTATCAAATATAAGGATTCAAATCTTACAACATTCTACTCCGTCGTGGAGGATCACTGGCTAGTCTTTTGTGCTGTTGAAGTGAATTGTACTATCCCTTACCCACCTCCTTGTGTGGGGTTTGGAAAGTTACGATCATTACAAATTATTTTACCCACCTCAATTGGTGGCTCGGATATGTCTCTCCCACTATTTGAGGTGAAAGAAAGACAAATCTGAGCTCCACCAAATGAGGTGGATAAGACAATACGTAATAATCGTAAATTTCTAGGTCCCGCTCGGCAAGATGGGTAGGGGATGTTCCGTAAATTTTATTAGTCTACTAATAAAAATAAATCAAAATGAGATCATATATTAGCAGAAAACATGCCATCAAATCCAACACATCATTAACATTGATGAAACATACAAGACTTCACCTCCCTCAAATGCCATCATCCTCAACAACAAAATGACCTAATTTGATCTCCAATATACACATACATTTTCATTAATTTTCCAGCAATTCCTAGTACACAATCTAGGACGATATAAGCAACTGTGTCGTAGGTACAAACCTCCTCTCAACCAATTCTTGATCAGCCTCAAACTTCACCTCATGTCTCTCATATGGTATCTCAACAAGCTGCGTCGTCGTCGCTGTCACCATCACCTGCTCCACCTTCAACCCCTCCTCACTACTTTCATTATTAATCTGCAACGTGGACACCATGGTCGGATCTTGCATGGTCCATGCATCAACATTTAGGTCATCTACTAAATTATTCGAAACAACATAATTATCACTCTCCTGTTGCCCTTGATTAATAAAAAACGGTTCAGAATTAACTATATTCTCAAAACTAAGAACCGAATCATCAGTTTCTTGAATCTGTTGCTGAGCTTGCGCCCGACAAATCGCCACCTGATGAAGAACCAACTCCAGCTCAGCCTTGTTTAACTCAATCTGACGTTGAAGTTCTCTTATAATTCTATAACATCCTCCCACAGGGTCACTGGCTCGCACGTCAGACTGGAAAATAATGGTCCGCATGGCTTCATCCTTCTCGGGAGGCTCAAGATTCTTGATGATCTTCGTGATGTTACTGACCCCAAACAATTTATGAGCGTTGAGGAATTGTCTCTGGCGATCGTGGGGGAAGTAAGGGGCGAGAATGCAATCAGGAGCACATTTTCTACGTTGGTATTTACATGCAGCGCATGCCTGAGTGGTGCTGCCATTGCTGGTGGCATTGGCATTGCCAAGTCTTGGAAGGGGTCTCATATTTGATGGGGAAAGTTGCACTAGTTTTTAATGTCGTTGAGAAGGGTGGAGAATTCGGAGGCGTTGCCGGCGGGGTCGAAAGGTAAGGTTTTTGTTGTCGTTTGAGTGTCAAGAGAAAGAGATGGAGAGAAATGAATGGAGAGACAGACAGATTGTTTGTTTATTATAGTAATGGGGTGGAATTTTGGCAGAGAGGTTAACGGATTAGTTGTTAAAGGTAATAATTTTAAAGGTTTTGATTTAGAAAATAAAGGGATTGGCTAAAAATAGTGTTTGTGTTGTAATACATTCTGTTAGAGTTAACTCTTTTTAGCGACAAGATTGGGAAGATCAGCCATTGAAATTAAGATTAAAGCCATATATCAATGGACTCATTAAACGGGTTATCTAATCTAATCTAGATCTAGTCAAAATGGATGGATTGTTATGGAATGGTGTAGCTACTTTCACACGAGTGTAATATAGTATGATCATGATCTCTAAGATGTTTACATTATTGAATGGAAACATTAAGTTGATTAGGACAACTTAAGGATTGGGTATATTTGTGAAATTTTACCTGCTATCAAATGATTGGAATGAATACCGTCTTCTTGAACCACCATCAAGTGACCTTATGATAAAAGAGTAAAAAGAGTTTCCTCAAACTCCTGAGTTCGATTCCTCTCAGGCCTTAATAGAGATAACCACTGGAGGATTATCTAATTGGATTTTCAGAGTCTTGAATGTTTAGTTGAGATACGCACAAACTAATCTAGACACCCTCGGTCATTTTAAAAAACAAAAAACTTTCCTCTTCTCACTTTATAATTGTAAGAACATTTGAGTTAGACTTGGGTTGGCTCAAGTTTCATTTAGATTTCTTTTCAGATCTAAAAACTTACCCAAACCTTAAAAAATCCAGAGGTTTTTTTTTATTGTTAATTATCGCCCTATTCTTGTTCCTCAGTTAAAGGGCAAAGCGTGGCGCATGGCGAATTCGAGCTCTGTTTGAGGCACATTATGAACCAAAATATATACATAACCCATTGATGCAAAGATAAATTTGCAGCTCATGAAAGCAAAAAGTCTTGTTGCCAAATAAAAGAAAGGGCTATAAGCTGATCTCATTACTTGAAATGTTGTACAATCTGAATGTAAGGGATGAAAACAAGAAGATAAATTATTTTTCTCAGTGAACTAATAGTTACAGAAACAATCTTATTCTACGAATATGGAAACTCCTGCCTTCACTTTGAACAGGAATTTCTGCGGAATACAACCTGAAATAAAAACTGAAAATTTTATCATCGGAAAGCTGATTCAAATGACTCGAGTTAATCATCTCGGGTAAATGATGAGCCGAAAGAACAAAAAAACAAAAAAAAAAAAAGTAAAGCAAGAAGATGAAAAAGCTCTTTGCCCACTAACAGTAAGCTACATGAATCTTATTTTGCCTATATGCTTTATCTCTGGCTGCCAAGTATCCCGACCTGTGTTCCTTTTAGCCTGTCTCATGTGGATTTAGTGCATTGAACTAGAATTGGTTAAAAATTAAATGAACGCAAATATATACATAAATACATAAACCCAATAGCAACTAAACTGTAAGATCGTTCGTTGATACAAAAAGTTCAAGCTAAAACTGTAGGCCTTAATGCATCAAAATTTTGCTAGCTGGATTTGTTGTTACCAACAAGTTTAATTTTTCAACAACATGCTCATTCTTCAAAAAGGATTAATGATTTATAAACTTCTTTTAAGAAGAAACTAGCATTTTATGTGCATTCAATAATTATTATTTTTTCCTCTTCTCAATTCAATAACAGAGTCCAGTAATCAACATGTTCAAAGATTTACACTCCAAAATAATAATAATAATAACAATTCGCAACTTATTTCCCTATCATTTAACGGTGAAAATATATTTTCTTACCCAATGTCAGAATGCAGACAAACAGTTAAGGCTCAGACTTGATAAGCTCTTCGACAGAGTTCTTATACTTGCTAATCAGTTCCCTGGCATTCAATCAGAAAACAAGTCACTTCCTGAGCAATCATAAAACTTAACACAAAACTCTAAACCATGCACAACCTCCGTTGATTCAGCAGCTGTTCACTCTCCTCCAGCTTTCGCTTCTGCCCCTCAACCGTCTGCATCCAATATCAAAAAATTCCCCAAATCATACCAAGAAACTTTAAACCAACCAAAGAGAAACTAATTACATTACAATTCATACAAAGCTTTGTAACAAAAGACAAAAAGAACTCTCAGTATTCTGCTGTACATCTATCAACCCAACTAGTTCTATCTAAACTAAAAAAAGCTGACCGTGAAACACTATCTCCCACGAAGACCTCAATCAACAAGATCCTTTACTAATTTGAGCAGGTTTATACACATCTTTTTCAAATGTCAAATAAATCTCTCATCATACCCCAAGCTTTTACCATTGCAACAAAGACTAGTAAAACCCATCAATACAACAAAGTCATAATACACAGCCGGATGCAAAATCTTGGTAATGTTATCAGAACAAGTTTATCATAACATTAAACATCACAATTGTAACACTCGATGTCCATTTTTATATTTTGTTACTAGTTACCAATAAAAGGTTACTAGTATAATTTATTACAATTCTTACATCTAATGTCACCAAAGTACGATGTTCCGATAATCCAAATAATGTTAGATATTCTGTAGCTGTTACCAAAACTCCATTTCATTTTTCAAACATAAAGATGTCATCTTCATACATACCATTGCAATGTAATTACCTATCCTAAAAACTTAATCAAAATATCATCCTGAAAAACGTTATAAATGTCCAAAAATATGAAGTATATGTGATTAAACTTACCATTGCCTTACTGCTGATTGATCCTGATATTGAATTCAATAGTTGCTGACACTTCTCAAAGTGATTGTTCAACTCACTAACCTTCAAACACAAATAAATAAAAACATAAATTAAATTATACACATTAAAATTTAATCTCCCAAACGTTACCCAAATCAATAATTTGATGACGTTGCCAGTAACATTACCAGGATCAAGGAGAAATTAAAAAAAAAAAAAAATCAAAAAATATGTACCAAAGCATCTGAGTGCTGGTCCCTGGTTCCATCCTCAATAGCGTCGGCTAAATTCTCCACCAACTGTAAATCAAAACCGCACAAAAGAAGAAACTAAAAGTTACAAAGAGCACCCAATTAGATTGAAAAAACTTACAAACAGAGGACATGAAACACAACCCACATGCAAGAGATGGAAGTGAGAGGCGAGTGACTGGTGATGCTGGTTCTGTTGTGGTTGCTGTTGCTGCTGTTGAAGCGTACGATGTTGAAGCTGCGGTTGTTGTTGAAACTGCTGTTGTTGAGGAAATTGAGGTTGTTGGTAGAATTGTTGTTGATGGTGTTGTGGGGAGAGGAGTAGATGGTCTTGATTTGAGGGTGCAGGGGAGTTTGTGTGGGTCGGCATGGTGGGGATCATTGGCCACGACCCGGAACCCGAATATGGATCCATTTTGGGAACTGGGGTTCTCAGGTCACCGCGGGATTTGATTAACACGAATAAATACGAATTAAAGAGCGAGGAGGAGGATGAAGAAGATATTAGCTTAACTACGAGTTTGTCCTAAACGCTGCCGTAAAGATAGTTCTTTTGGGGTCCTCTATATTTTAAATTTATTGCAAATGTACACTCTAGTCTATAAATTAGATAGATTATTTTGTCTCTTAATGTTGATTAGAATATAACATAATGCCAACATTTAACTTCTTTGAAAAAGCATAAACTAGTTTTTTTTTAAATAACTTTTAATTTTCTAAATTTTTCTTAAATTGCGGATGCTTAGATAGGGAATCAAACTTGAGATCGTGTTCTTATCCAGACTATCTCCAATTTACTCTAACTATCTAAACTATCCACAAATAAATCTCTTTAAAGTTGGTAACCTTAGAATTATAAGTAATATCATACCTCTCAAATTTTATATCTCAAATGATGCGATATTTGATTTATAGCTTATTACACGTAATTATAGAATCACGTGAAAACTCAGTTCTATAAATCAACGTGGCATCCCTTGATATACAAAAGTTAGGGATGTAAATGTGAGATACAAAACATTATTTTAATGAAAACTGGTTTATCTTTAATATTTCATATAAATTATGTGAAATTATAGTAAATAATTTCAAAATAATTGGATTGATTAGTAATTTAGTACAATATAGGGGAGTTAAAAAGAATTCCCCTTACGATTTTGATGATTGTGATCATCACTGAAATCCAACGGTTGTCATCAACTCAACCCAAAGGTTACAGCTTTTCCTCACACAGAGAAACATCACCAGATTCAACACCTTCAAGCATATTCGTTTCTCCACAAAAAGGCCTCATTTTTAGTTCCGGGAGTGAAGGATAGTCAGTAACCCGCTATCAAAACTTCATCTTTTGGACTTCCCAATTCATAGTTTCGACAATACTTATCAAACTTTTGCGTTAGGTTTGTTTTCTTCTCTCTCTCTCTCTCTCTCAGTAGCTTTGATTTGCATATTGAATTTATTTTTGTGTGTATTTGTTTATATATTTTGGTGGTTTCCCTTTGTAACTTGTTTGTTTGTTGAAATCAATTCATTTTGAGATTAAGAGGAGAAAGAAAGATCCCTTTTTTTAAATAGAAAAATGAGTGAAAATGAATTAGCAACTTGGTTTAGAGGAAATTTGTTCTGACCCAGAATTTGTTTTGCGCTAAATTTTTTGTTTTGATTAGGATCTTGGGTAATGTTTGGTTACTGTGTGGTTTTGGTTATGTCTTCTCTAGAAGTGAGAATATTAGGATCAGAACTTTAGCGGTGCTGTGTATTTTAATGGAGAGGAAAGGATGTTGTAAAATCATAAGTCGTGTAGAAGTGGATGAGGAATGGTTTTGTGGGGCTATAAATTGAAGACAATGCTTAGTAAAGTAGTATGGAGAAAATCTTTAGTGGGATGGGTTCATTTGCAGGCCATGTCAGTGCACGTGGCGTGCATGACGCACGTGGTGATTGGATAGGTGTACTTGCATCCGTCTCACTGATATAAACATTTGCAAAGATAAGATTTATTTTGCAAGTGTTAAAGTTGTTGGGCATTGTTTGATTAGCATTTTAGAAGAAGTAATTTTGATTGCCTGTGGGGCACAACTTATGGGGAAATTGATGCTGAAAGCAATGGACACACTCTTGAAATGTTGATTGTATGATGGATTAAAGGGCAATCCTTCTTGAGGAAAACATGGGTTTATTATTGAATATCAGATCCTGTGGGTCGCTTGATTGATAGACAGACATGATACGGAAAATATATGAGGGAGTTCTCAAGTTGTATTTGGGGGGAAAACAAGCATAAAAGTTATTCTCTATTTTGTTCTTGTGGATATTGATGATTACTTATTAGAATGATAGAAAAGCCTTTTTGGTATTAAAATATAACTAGGATAGGATTTTTGTATGAAATCACTTAAATAATGGTTGCTAAAATCATATTTTATGTGGGGTTCCGAGCTCTATATTTTGTGAAATGTTTGAGCCCTTAAGAAAACTGCTTATATTTTTGTCTATGATGTTGTTTCTGAGTGACTCTATGATGTTGAGGGTCAAGTTCAAGTCCAGCAGAGAATTGCAGGAAGATTCTCGCAGAATGTTATATATCAGTATGAATATAATATATATGGAGAAATTTAATTAAAATACCATTTCAAATTTGGAATTAATTAAATATTCATGAAGTTTGAAACTCTTTACTAAATGACCATTCGCTTAAGCGATATAAGCTTATTGTTTAAGCGATGTGGGTTTATCTATAAGCTTATCTCTTAAACGATTTGCGTAAATCGCTTAAGCGATGAAAGTTCATGGCTATTTAATTCATTCCAAACTTGAAATGGTGTTTTAATAGTCTGCCCTATGCCAGATTTTTCTTCAATTTCTATGTAGTTTCAGTCTTATTTAATATTCCTGAATAGATTAAGTCACATATAACCCAATAGATGAACAAAATATCTCCAAATGTGGACAACCTTACATGGCTGCTGATAATTCTGATATAATCATACGTCAAGGCAATTTAGTTCCTGATTTTACAACATAATCCGAATTGCATTATGCTGGAGTTAAAAAGGGGTTGCAGTCACATCCATAAAGTGTAGAGAACTATGCAATGTAGTTTGTTCTCATTTTGTTGTTATTGCTCAGTTTTTTTTCGTGGCAGTTATTCACGATGTATTACAATCTGACATTTATTTGTCGTTTAAATTGGAGCTATTGTCACTGAATTTCTTATAGTGTTTGAAATTACAGGTAGAAAATGGCAGTAAAACCAACTGTTGCCTTGAGGGCTGTCCTTGTAGGTGGGATAGCTGTGTTTGCTAAAATAGCTGGTACAATGAAAGCAGCTGGTGGTGCAAAGTTGGGGGCAGCAGCAGCTGCCATGTCAATGGCAGCCGCGGCTGTGACACAATCAAAAGAGGATCAAAAGGACGGTTCTAAGCCATCCTCGAAGTGATTTTTTTATTTTCTTTTGCCTTTCTGTTTACGATGATTATGTAGTTGGTACTGTTTGTAGCATAGTTTGATGTTCCCGGGTTGTCGGGAGCAGTGTATTCACGGTTTACTGTTACTTGACCACATGAAAATGTCTAAAGATCAAACAACTTGAAATAAAAGCAATGACTTGATTCTTATTTATTTTGTTCTCATCTTGACTGCATATTTGTGGTTCTCAAAAGAACTGTATAACAGACAACTTCACACCAATTCTTAAAAACTTAAGTGAAAGTTGCATGAAGGCTCTGAGCTTTCTGCTGAAGTATAAAGTTCCCAGATTGACGAGTAAACAACATATTCCCATCCAAGGTTTGACGAAATCCCAAGTTGGTATCCTAGGTTACATTTATTCTAGATTCTCACCCTTAAAATAACAGTATTCGCAATTTTTAGGGTTTAAATGGTGAAATTACTATAATGCCTTTAACTCTAAATTAATAAATTATGTTTTAACCCCTAAATTAGTAGAATTATAAACTTACCATTTTATTTTCAAATTATGTCAAAAACATCCTCGGTCAGTCGTCACTACACACACTTGTTAGAAACAACCTAATCTGGGCTATTTCTGACTATGTCGAACCACCTGGTCACCTCCATCACCTTCCCCGTAGTCCGTTGTCCAAAACCTCTCTGGTTGTCGACACATTGGCCCCTCCAATCACTAGCGTCGTTAGGCTCAGGGTTTTGGTGTTCTTCGTTGGATTCCGATCGATTTTGGCGACAAAAATCCAATTGGACACCACCATTACAACCACCGACTCCAAATCTATAAAACCCATATGTCCCCAACAATCGTTTCATCATCGTTCTTCGGCCGAGAGTTCTTGTTCATCGGCCTTTTTTTGTGAAGTGGTGGACAACAAACAGTAAGTTGTCGTGGCTGGGAAGGTTAGGGGTTTGTAGGGGAGGATGAGAGGAGTCAATTGGTGGTAGTGGTTGGGGTTGTAACTGTTCAAAACGGTCGAAAATCGACAAAAACCAATCGCTTGTCACGGTTGACGATTGACAAGTGATGAGGGGTTGTGAAGGATATGGTTTTATAGAAGGGAGGATGTGGATTCAAATGGTGGTGACAATAGTGATTTTGGGTGAAAGAATAGCCGAAAAGAGGGCGAAAAACGTTAGGGATGCCGTCTACTAATGTGCACCGGAGGACTGTTAAAGGCAACTGTCTGCTAACGTACGTCACCCATGTAAAATGACCAATTTACTCTTTTACCATTACATCAAACATTTTTCCGTCACTTTAAGGGTGAGAATCTGAAATAAATGTAACTTGGAGTACCAACTTAGGATTTCATCAAACCTTTGGGTGGGAATATGTCGTTTACTCCCAGATTGACATAATAGGTTATAGCAACATAAAGCTGCTTAGGCAAACATGTATTCCATGTTACAGAAGAGAAGAAAAGAGTGGAATAAAATAATTATTTATGTCAATTTAGATTCCACGATATAATCAGGTCTTCAAACCATTATCAATTGATTGCCACAACAAATATGCTAACAGAAGAGTTATACTGTGCATGAAATAAGTAAACTATACAATGCTTTTTCTTGAATCGGAATTTTCTCCACACCGATACAATCGTCCATATCCCAAGTACTATCGTTCATGCAATGTCTTCTCCACCGGGGTGAGGAATGTGATAAAATATTGTGCATGAGGAAGATATTCAGAATTCGACATTCCGTATATGTTAAACTCTTACCTTCTCAATGTTATCAGCTTGGCACGAGATGTTGGATGTTTAACCGTGCCGGTAGACTTAAAGCTTGTGTACATGTTGATCTGCTTGAACCACACATGAAATCTGGCTTATCAACTGAATGTACCACAAGCTCAGAGTTGGGAGATTCTAACTCAAATATGACCTGCAAATAAAGAAAATTAACATTACCAGAAATATAACATTAAAAGTTTCCATTTTAGGCCGTGCTCATTCAGACTTCTACAAGGTACCAGAAAGCTTCTAAGAGAGAACAAATCAAAATTAACATTTATATGCCAGCATAATTATATATGTGAAAATATAGTAAATATCGTGTTCAGAATTATTAAACATGTAAACTACAACATAGGAACCACAGATTGAAAATATAAAACCGAAAGGATATTTAACATTCCATACCACAACATTTTCACCATCATGAAGGATAGGAGCAGGGACATAAAGATTGCATTGTGGTCCAAAAGACTGCAAAAAAGGCTAAGTAAAGATTCTAAAAGGAAACTAACCATAAATATAAAAGCAACAGCAGAAAAGCATACAAGACATGATGGAGATAAGGAATAACTTTACCGGCCAATATCTTCCTATGTTAAATTCATTAACAAATGCAATCCCTTTACCCCAACCACTGAAAGATATGTATGTATCTTTAACTTGGTTTACTTTATCAATACTAAAACGGCCGGCAAAGAATGCGGGTTCTTTCGAAATGGTCCCTGTTAAGGAGATACAAAGAGCAAAGAGCCATTGTTGACTGGAGAACCAGAAATGAAAGAGAAAATAATGCAACAAGTATGATAGAGCATCTTTCAACCTTTTCATAAGGCTCTAAAGACATACCATGTTTATGTTCTAATTTTTTGCGGGCAGATTGTTGAATGGATCCAGAAGATGCAACCTGAATGATGGGATTGATTTTTGGCACCTCATTGAGGTTGTGAAAAGGAATAGAGTACATTTTCCATCCATGCAGAACTTTCCCATCCAAATAAACCGAAGACAAAATACCCTATAATCCAGGAAAATCAGCCATAAACAACTAGGATTCAATACGATGGACACAGAAAGGAACTTCCTAGTTACCACCAAGAAAATTAAGCATGACCGGATATCTTACATGAACAATCAAAGCTTACAATGCTGGCATGGAGAGATTAATATTACAGTCTCTAAATGACACTGAACAATGATCTAATGCATCTGATAAACAAAGATTAAAAGTTTCAACTTCATAAGTAACTTTACCTTCTCATCAAACAGGTATTGCCCATAATTTACACGACCCATGTTTTCAACCTGAAGAACGAAAATATATTACATTGGAAGAAAAGAAAATTCTATCATATGCATCATAAAAGTCAGATAACAGCAAAGAAGCCATTAGAACTAACATACACCTAGCAGAATCCATGTACATGGAAACTATCAGTTTGCATTTGTTCTGATAACTTCTTTCCAAGACAGAAATCATTAAAATGGTCAAGACAATTACATGAGTTCCTAACCTTCCATAACTATTTATATACAGGGGATATGAAGGTGAATTGGTGTTACAATATTGCTTCCAGAGCTACAAAACATAACTGATACTCAATATAAATGAATATTTTTACATTTATGAGCATAAAAAAAACCATTATATGTATAATGAAAATCTTGTATCCACATCCGCAACGTAAGCATGTATCTTTATTCCAGTTTACTATCTTCTTAAATATAAATAATTGCCCAAAAAGGGTGGCAAGTCTAGAACCCTAAGTGGCTAAGTGAACTGTTCAATGAAAAATAAAAGCTAGTTACCAAAATATACAAGCTGATGTTGGAGACACATCTAGCATTAGGGAGGCCAAGTGCTTGATTTGACCATCTTTCAATTGTACCGACATATTCTGGCTTTCCACCATTATCTCCAGATGGGCATGATATCAACACTTGAGCTCTGTCATGCACCTGCAACCACAATACTTACATTATTTATTGAATTTCTGTGAACTACGTAATTCTGAAACCACTAATGAGAAAAAAAATTGAACATAACTACAAAACTAGAAACTGAATTACTTGGCTTAAATATGAATCAAATGACATCTGTACCTTTGGTATGCGCAGACTACTTCCACGGTTCTTTCCAACATATTCAGATACATACAATAGAAATCCAAACATCTGGAGTGAAAAAAGAAATCCAAATGTGGCCATAGTAATGTTCAACACTCTTGGATTATTATAAAACGCAGAACAAAGAAACTTACAAATAAGATCATAAATTCTTACACACCTGACCCACAGACTCCATTGAAATTGGGTTTTCAGATTGAACTACATCTGCAGGATCTATAGTATCAAGTAAATCAAACAACAATGCTGTTTTCTGTAACTGAATAGGTCCATATCCTGCCTTTGCATTATCCGGAGGAATTGAAGGAAGAGATGTAGCACTATATTTCTCTACCACCCCCCGAATTGCTGAAAGCAGAACAGTCTTTGTTAACAGAATATCTTGCAGAAAAGCATTACTGCCAAGATAAAAAATCTCAGGAGCCTAAATATCTCAAATGAGAATAAAAAAAGGTATGGCATAATCAGATTAGTGAAAAAATCAACAAAAATCAAAGACAGATTATCCCAACTACAGAAGGAAAAAAAGAAACCTAAAATTATACCTTTGAATTTTGCATTGTCCACATCACCAGATTCCTTAATTGGTGCATCCTGGGATAAAGGGGCATATGACTATCAGTTTAGTGCATAAAACCAGTCTGCTTTTTTCCTGATAAGCAAATCAATATTGTTCTCACATAATCATAAGAAGTTAGATCAGGCTTATAATCAGAATCATCCACTCCAGTATTTGCTCCATTGTAAAATCCAAAGTTTGTCCCACCATGTGCCACCTGGAATTAGAAGAGTCCGAGTTAGAATTATCAGTAGGTAAACAACGGCTTGATAGCAGCAAAAATGGGAAACTATTGTACATAAAGCACTGCAGAACCGTTCTTTGATAAAATCTTTTCTAGGTAAGATGCTGTGGAATCTGCACTAGTTGCTGCTATCTTCTCCCCCCAGTGTGTAAGCCAGCCAGTATAAAACTCCCTGAAATTACAAGCATTATAGCAATGAACCATTGATCAGAAATAATAATTACAAGACACTTACGAAGAAAGCGGTGGTGATTTTCCTGGGGCATTGAACTCCTTTTGTAACTTAAATATAGGCCAAGGCTCATCACCAGTAGAGAAGTCAACAGCTACAAATCAGAAATCCAGATAAAATTATAGCAAAATATATTATTTAAACATAAGATCCTATTAACTTACTCCCAGTGTAAATCTCAGTTACATTACTTATGTACGTAGCTAAGACATAATAGTAATAATCAAGTTATACAGTGGAAAGCTTCTCAATTTTTTACCCTTTTGAAGACAAATAAAGGAACAATTCTATGAATTATGCCAACGGCTATATAAATTCTAAAGAGATAACCCCAAAAAAAATATTGACAAAGATTGATATTTGCAATTCCCGAGTCTTTAAGAGTATCAAAATCTCCCTTATGCTCAGAACTAAGAAACTAAAATACATTGCTATCGACTTTACCAGAAAAAACAGCGTCTCCACTTATAGTCCCCTTCTGAAGATTTTCCCTCCTACCTCCGTCCGTCGTATACCTAAAAATCAAGTCAAGGAAAGGATGAATAATCAAATAAGGAAAGAATAACATCAGAAGTCCATTCAAAGTATGCAATTGGTACACATTTCTACTACATATAACAATAGAAATATCAACTAGATGCAGCATATGAACAACTGGACATTATAACCAACAATTATCAATAGAACAGTAAACTAGGAAGTCGTAAATATTCAAACCCAGGTAGTTGGAATGAAACCAAAATTCAAGTTAAAGAAATAATCTGGAATAAGGTCAATAAAACAGCTTACAAAACAATTTCTTCCCCAAGATGTGCTCTGGCCAATGTAACAAGGTGATGAAGGTAGGCCTTGTCATCTCCATATGACCCAAATTCATTCTCAATCTGTGAAAATAATATCAATTAACATTAAGATACCTAAAAGCAGGGAATTTAAAGTTCAACTTCACAAATTAAAAGGTTCTCCCATTCACACCATGACAAAAGTAGCTCTTTCCCACAAGCAACATTAACATTCAAATAAGGATTTATCATCACAAGTTGGCAAATCATGAGTTATCCATCATCCATCAATTTTTTTTTTTTCATAATTTCAAAACTTCAATAGCTTTCTTTAAACATTAAGAAGGAAACCCCTTTTAGCTTAACCGTTGTGAGTTCAGTACTGCACATTGGAATTCGGATTCTCGTACTGATCCAACAATTTTCCACAGTATTTACCAATTAAAATTCATGGTTGGAAGACTATTGAAGTAACATATCCACAAACCTGAACCATTATAATAGAGCCTCCATTGTCATAAAGAAGAGGAGCTATCTTTGGGAGTAGGACTCCCCACCATCTTTCAACCTACAATATTTCACATTGCCATATAATCATATTAATGCACAGCATGGTGAACGTTCACATTTAAAGCCATAAACAGCAGCTAAAACATACTTCATTACAAAAATTAAAATCATGAGACACAATTTTGAGCAAACAAAACTATAGGGGCATATACCAATCGAAGGTAAGCAGGATCTGATGACCTGAGTTTGAGAGCTGGTTTTATGGCAAGCAGCCAAGCTGGGAAACCCCCCAAATCCCACTCTGCAACAAAAGGATATTTTTAAAGGAAACAATTGTTATCATGGCAACTACAAAAGATAAAAAAAATACAAATTATCACAAACAATGGGATATCAGAAGTACTGAACATGAAGTTCAAGTGAAAAAATGACTATAAATCAAGATACACGAACTATGTGCCCATCTTCTACGAGCTAAGTAACCATGATTTACATGGAAAATGTACAAAAGGCAACAAAAAAAAAAAAAAAGTTTTTTGAAAAATGCTCTATTATAAGGATCGTGGATAAGGGGAACATCACCTAGTGCCTCATAAGTTACAATAAGTAAGAGTAATTTACAACTGTTCCAGATGTATGGCAATATCAATACTGGAATCTCCCTTACTACTAATAATCCATGAAACAGAAATGAAAATTCAACATACTAGCAGTGGGAAAAGAATCTAAATGTTAAGACTGACCAGCACATATGTAAGGCCCAGCTCGAAGCATAACAAGCAAATCCAGCTTTTGACAGAGTTCGAGAAATGATACTAGATCTGCAATACCCTCAAAAACCAGCTTGCCAGGTTTTGGTTCATGCAGATTCCAAGGAACATAAATTTGGATGGTATTTAAGCCCAAAGCCTTAGCTCGTAAAAGCCTATCCTCCCAATACTGCATTCATAAGATATATACTCAACACATTACCATGTCACCAAAAAAAAAGAATCTTACAAAGAAAATTTCCCTTTTCAATAAACTTGGTAAGTGATATATTGAAAGAAGTACATAAAACTACATGACAAATGAACAATGAGATAAGATTTCATTATAGAGATCCAACTCTCTTAGCAAAATACAGCTTTAGTAGACAAACAAATATAGAAAAAGGGAGAACAATACCTCAGGAAGTACCCGGAAATAATGCACATCGCCACCAATAATCTGAAATGGCTTACCATCTTTCCAGAACATGTCCTCAGCAACCTCGAATTTTCGTTCATTCATCTAACATAAACATAAAACGAAATTTCACCCAACATAAGACCAAAAAAGTAACTTAACTCCAACATAAAACGAAATTTCACCCAACATAAGACCAAAAAAGTAACTTAACTCCAACAATTCAAAACAGTGCAAATGCATACAAAACCAAGAGCCAAACTTCCATTATCCATTAAAAACTTCCTCAATTTCAGATACTTTTTAAACAGTAAACGAACTATTTGAAAATTCAATCTTTTTTCTTCTCCTGAGAGCTCCCTCGCTCTCACCAACCAAAAAAACATAAAAATATAAACTTTAACATAAAAACGAAACCTTTTTTCTCAAAACTGAACACCAATTCATATAAATATATAAAATCAGAGACGTAATCTTACGCTCTTGTGTCGAAGCTGATGATGAAGAGGTGAAAGAGAAGGAAGAGGAGCGAAGACTGGGACCAAGCCACCGAGCAGCACCAGAAAGAGCAAAACGGAGAAGAACGCCGTCGTTTTGGAGCTCCGCCTTCGCATTCCCGACATTGCTGAGAACTTGGTCTTCCCTTTCGTTGACTCCGTTGCAGTGTCAGCCATTTTCAAATCGAATGAACCCGACCACACTGAGGTAACGCATATTTTGTATTATTTATTTTTCCAAATTTAGAGAATTTATTCCCGGATAACATTTTCCCATATACGTCCCTAAAGTTTAGTCCAATGCCTTTCTATAATCATTATGGACAGGGATGTCTATTTTGCCCCGATCGGTTTTGGACCTGAAGAGCCGAAGTGGTCGAGCCAGGTAGAACTCAACCCGACATGTCCGTATAATATTATCATCAAGATCAAGAGTTTTTATCATAACATTGGGTGTTTTCGAGCATTAGCATAGTATTTGAAAAATTATCTAAAGATTTGGAGCATTTGTTTCCCTATTTTTGCCCTATCTTATTCCTATCATTTCCAAAGTACACATTTGTTTTCCTAATTTGAAAATACTATTATATTTTATTCAATTCTTTTTAAACTCCCTAAGTTTTTTAATTTAACAAAACACCCCCAAAAAATTTAAAAATTTACAAAAAACACCCCACCCACACCATTGTTGGAAGGTGGCCGGAATTTAGTATAATAGCGTACTACCGACTGGATTTGACCGATATAGTTATTTCCAGCCAAGCCAGATCCAACGTGGATTTGGCTAGAAAATGCTAGATCTACGGCCAGATCTTCGGCCGTAGTTAGTTGTCAACGACAGCCAAGATATGACCATCAACGATGGCCAAGCTATGGCCGTCGACCATCAATAATGGTCATATCTTTGGTCATCATTGACGACCAAAAGCGGCTAGATCTAGCTGTCAATGGATAGATCTAGCTGTAGATTTGACTTTTTTGGACAGATCCAGTCGATTGTGTGCCAATACGGCGACTTTGGCCACCCTATGGCTGTGATGGCCGGCTGCCGGTATTTAATGGATGGGTAGGGCTGTTTTTGTAATTTTTAATTTTTTTTATTATAAGGGCGTTTAGTAAATTAACAAACCTAGAGGGTGCTTTGTTAATTTTTAAATTCAACCATGTTATTTCTACCCAATTCTTACTTTTTCAAAAATAATATCCAAAATACTAAAACAATCTCATTCTTTGTATGAAAGTTTTGTGTTTACTCGACTCAACTAGAGTAGAGTATGTTTATAAATTTGAGTCAATTTAAACTTTTAGAAAACCCAACCTAACCAGAAATAATTAGATATTTTGTTTGATTATAATAATTTAAATAGTGAGCTTAAATATGTTATGGTAGTTTTCAACCAAAAATTGACAAGTTAGGGGGGATTTTATTAGTTTTTGAAAATATTGGATGCCCATATATTTGTAAATCTCTCATGGTCCGTGTATTACCTATATGCTATTCTTTTCTCAATTCAATACCACAACTTTAATATTTAAGGCCAAGTGACAAAATATTTGATTTCTATTATCTTTTTTTTTTTTTTTTTTTTTTTAACTAAGGTGTCCGAACTAGCTTACGCACGCTTCGATTAATCCTTGGAGAAGATTAATGCAGCAATCCACTGTTACGACACCCCACTTAATATGATTTCTATTATTATATTATTTAATTACCATATCATATCGAATACTTAATAATTAAATTATGTTAAAACTTATAAAATTCATCTTTTCTTTTCTCATCCTTTAATTTTCAAAGCAAAGTCATTGCATATGTTTTCTTTCAAGGCAAATATTGTTTGGAAAATGTAAAAGGTTTCTCTTCCAAGTAAAGTTCTTGGATAAAAATAGAATTATTATTCAAGTATTGATAATTCTTAAAGGATGGGCCAATAAGTGGGCCTAATGTTTCCCTTTTTGGGCCTTCCTCATCTTGGGCTTATTTAAGGCCCATCTTTTCATTTTCCAATGGTTTACATGACTATGTAATTCAATTTGTGTAGGTCAAAAGTTTTAATTAAAAGAGAAAAACAATGACTTAATTTGTCACTATGTATAGGAAAGTGGTGATCAAAATCTAAATAATGGTAGTCATATATTCCAAGTCCCACTACAAAATTTATTAGTGTGAAAGAAGCCAAATTAGCTTTAGCTTTCCACATATGCCAATGTCCTCAACTAATAGTTATCAATCACTTTTATAAAAGATGAACAGTATCAATCCAATAATTTTCAAAATCATAACCACTAGTATTCTAACCTTTTTTCGAACCTTATAGTATTCAAAAAACAGGAAAAATAGGACCGGTTTAGGGTTGTACACGAAAAATTATCAAGATCATAACTACTAGTATTAGAGGACCGGTTTGCCAAACCCTACGATATTTGAATAATAGGAAACAATTATAGTCTTCGGTAATGTAGGCGTTCATGAGTGGATTCAAACCTCAAACTTGGTAAAAGCAAACCATATATTTAACCTCTTTAGTCACTAGGGTTAGTTATACCTAAGAGGTTTTGTGTTCGAGTCGCAAGAAGGATACCTATCACATTTGTGTACTTACCTTCGTCTATTGGGTTTATAAGGTGTTCCATGGCTTTGAGGATTAGGTAGACTCCAATGTGAGTCTGGATACCTCAGTTACCTAAAAAAAAATATCCCAAGGTTGCACATGAAAAATTATCAAACCCTACAATATTTGAAAAACACATAAAAACGATGGCCTTGGAAAAAACCAGAAACCTAACCGTTCGACTAACCCGACCAAATATCATAGAGTTGCACATGAAAAGTATGCAAAAATGGGAGAAAACAAGAAGTTTGATTAGGGATGGTCAAGTGTTCCTAATTTGAAACATGAAACAGGGAAAAGAAATGAAAGTAAAGTGAAGTGAAGAAGGTTGAGGGGAGTGGACCCTGAGGTTTGTGTGTAAAACCCGAAATTGTTAGATTCTTTTTGATGTTACAAGTTCACTGGAGATGAAGGATATATAAATATATATATTTGACTATTGTGGTGTCTCCAGGGTGAGTGGGCCAAAAAAATAATGCAATAATATTGAGTTTCTTCTTCCATATTTATATTGTTTTTTTCTTGCCTTTGAGATCACTCAAGTACTACTTTATTTAGTAGATTCTTTCTCGTACACTATTTTATGCAATTATTTCAACTCATTTCACCTTTTGATTTTATGACTCTGTTCTGCCACTATATTAATGTTCCTTCACAAAAATGTGTGGTCATCGGGATTCGGAAAAAAAAAATGTTTGAGATTTAATTAGCACAAAAGGAAATTACCCAAAAAATAAATAAAAAAAATATTGCTTATGTTATATGATATGAAATCAATATGGGAAAATAGTATTCCGGAATGCAAAAACAATGTTGGGTCCTTAATGTTGGATGTAGTTCATACTTTACACAGGGTTAACATCGACATATTTGGGGTACCCCCTTCACGGTAAGTTCAATTAGTAAATGGACTTGAAGTTAGTTTGTAAATATTTGGACCTCTAACAGTTTAGCCCAAATGTAATTAGGTTTATTATTACCTTAGTATAGTAGTGGAAAACCTAATGTAAGAAATCGAGAGAAAGAGTGAACGGTTGATACTTTTTATTATTGTATTCTAAAACTTAATAAAAATTACTCTATTTGAATGTTAGACGTAATTTCTTCATTGCATACAACAACGTTGTTCTAGTGCCAAGAAAAGTGGGTTGTAGAAAATGTCCTTCGATGCAAAAACACAACGTACGGTAGAAATATATGTATGTATGTATGTATGTATATATATGTATCAGCTTCGATGCTATGTTGGGTCTATTTTTATGAAATAATTATATACACTCACAATGTTTTTGTAAAAGGCATTGGAGCCCCTCATGGACATATACATGACCAACTACCATATTTACCGCTTCTCGAAGATTTTAGAGTTAAAAAAAAGCTCTATTACAAACTCGGGTTTACAAAACAAGTTGGGGGATTTCCGGATTATAAAAAAAGAAAAGAAAAGAAAAAAAGCATTCTCAAATACTTTTACACAAAATTACAATGTGGAATGAAAAGTAGGGTTTGTAAAATGATGTAGGAAATTTGTTTTTGAAACTTTCATTAAAACCTGACAGTAAGCAAGCAAAGGGAAGGTAAAAACAAAAACAAAAAGAAGAAGGAAAGAGAGTGATTGAGTGAAGACTGTAAGTCAAAGAAAAAGGTACAGTACTATTATTAACACAAAGGCAGGAGCATCTTTTTACAATGACAAGTCAACCAGTTTTTAGCCATGCGCCACCACCACCATGGTCACCACCCACCATCATCAAAATACGTAAAACCCCTAAATTAAACAACACAGAGAGAGAGAGACCTTCGAGCCATACACATTCAGCTTTAATGGCCAGCTTTTTAGAGAGAGAGAGAGAGAGAGATATAGATGCCATCACCAGACAAAAAGCACCTAACAAAAACAAATAAAGCAAATGATATTGCATCAAAAATAATGTATCAGAAATAAAAATTTAACTTATGTGGGTTTGGAGCATGTGATTTCTTCTGCTCTTGTAGCCCACCACCACTTTGTCCCTTTTTTATCTTTATCTTCATCTTCATCTTCATCTCCATTACCAACAAGACAAAAGCTTTATATATATATTTACATGCATGTATGTCAGAAATATTATGATAAACATGACACATTCTCGATCTCCATATATATATATATAAAGTGAAAACATGTCATATTTCTTTCCAAAAGCATATTTGATGGGTCTGGATTTGTATGTCTCTTGTCGTGTGTTTATGCAACAAAATCTCATTTTATTTATATATATATGAAAATTTAGATGAAAATTCTCAAGTGCAAAAGTCTAGAATTGTGTTCACATAGGTAATTTCGTATTAAAAGACAAAATTTTAATAAGATTTGTTGCTTAAAAACCATAAAAAGAAAAAAAAAAAAAAAAATTCTATTGCAAAACTACCTTTAAAAATGTAGGTCTAAATATTTTTAAAATCTGGACCTACATTTCTGATGACAGTTTTCTACTAAAAGATAAAATTTTAAAATTCAAGATATATATATTTTAATTAATAGATGAATTTCAAAATAAGTATGTCGGTCGAGATACACGTCTTACCTAAAATTTTCTCCATATTAAGAAAAAGTTTATTATAAAAATGTTTGTTTGAAGTATTATTAAAAAGTATATAGTATATTCTTATATAGTAATTATATATCATGAATGTCAAATACATTTCTTTCATTTAAAACTTTTATCTCATAAACACCTCTAGAATGAGCTACGGGAAGAATATATATATATATATATATATATATATATATATAAACCATGAACATGCATGCATATGGGTTTGAAAGACAAATATTCTCTCTCTCTCTTTCTTTCTTTCTTCCTCCCAAGCTAATATAAGTTACAAAATTCATCAGAAAACCAAGGAGAGGAAGTGGGATTGCAGAGGAATCTTTGATTTGTTGTAATTAATTATATATTTTGGTATTTCATTTGCAAAAACCAATGAAAGGACAGGTGCCTGCCAGCCACCACTTTCAAAGTTAGTCCATACATCTATTCAAATTGACCTAACATAGCAAGATCTTAGCCAGGGATAAGCATCTTTCTTTCTTTCTTTCTTTCTTTCTTTCTCACATTTCTGGTTTTATAAACTTTTCACAGAACTACCTTTTCTTATGATAACCTAATCATACCTTACTTATAATAATATCCTCCCTCTTTCATTACTCAATCTCTCTCTATTTTTTATAATATATGTATATATATATACACACACACCTTTTACCTCACTTTTTTCTTATACTTCGTCATTAACTCTAACCCACAGGCAAATCACATCAAGTATAATAATTAGATATTAATCTCTTATGCATTGCTTGAATTTCTTTCATCTTTGTCCATGAAAACCCACCTTAATTTACTTATTTTTATAAATTAATTCCACAAAACAAAATTGTAATTAAATTAAATTAAATTTTGATATATTCATAGTGTTATCTGTCTAGCATGTAGGCCAATAAAACTGAGTGATCTTCCCTCGGGATTGAATCCCACTTGCACCCACAATAGGTGTCAAACATCATCTCCTTTATATAAAATGTTTATAAAAAACTTTGCCATATCTACCTAGGCTCATAAACTTTCACTTGTATTTATGCACATTTTTCTAACCTTTTTCCATTTCAGAATCCAATGCTTTAATTTATTTCTACCCATCAAACGTATTGTAGATCCCTGATTATATTATTTATAAGATGATTTATATTATATATAGAGATTAAGAATTGGTCTATTTTTTTGTGATGGTTTAGTGCCATCCACCAATCGATATCAAGGATTACCATGAATAGAAATTTACCTTTTGCATAAAAGGGTTAAATTAAACTAAATCAAACAGGATGTCCGTGCCAACTCGCGTATAACTCGACTAATCCCCGCATTCTACTACGATCATTCGCTTAAATTTTAAGAAACGACGGGATTCAAACCTAAGAATGTACGCCTTTACTAGCCAAGGGTGGGTTTGTAAAGCTAATATGTTTATTTCACCGGTCATATATAGTGTCAATTCATACCAAATTTGCAAAAGGATTATTCTTTGAAAATTTTAAGATAGTAATAGCAAAAGGGACCCCAGGTTTTAATTATTTTATATTATTGCATGATTAATTACTATTGCTCGCAGTTAATATGTTTTGGATCACATGTGATTCATATTAAAGTACGCTTTGTCTTCATATCAACCAGCTGGGATCAATTCATGAGACATATAGTAATATAAACATAAAACAAAAACCCTAGGGTTTTAATTACTTACCTTCGAAGATAGGTTTCTTAATTATTATATGTATATATAAAACATTTATAGACGAAGAATTACATGCTATAAATAATAACAATTATAATAATAAAAGAAAAGGAGAGAAAAAAATTCTTAAAATAACTAGATAAGGGTATTGAATAATATCATCATATTGAGAATTTGAGTGATTCCTTCCATTTTGGAAGCTTGAAATGACAAAGTGAGAAAGAGAATTAATTGATAAAAGCCTAATAAATAAACAAACATGAGCTAACCTTGCCATGGTTTCTGAGAGTGATGAGTGTGTTGTTGTTGTTGTTGTTGCTCATGAGAGGACGAAGAAGAAGAAGCGTTCATGCAATTTCCAAGATGGGCAATGTTGAAAAAATCAGATTGAGAGAGTGGCCTTAGCCCTAAGAAATCTCTGGTTTGATGATGATGTTCATCGTTTCTACTATGACTTCTTGTTGTTTCATTGAAATTGCCGGAAGCTTTAAAAACATCATCGAATGAAGCTGCTGAAGACAACGAATTCATCATTTCTTGAAGAAAAGCCCCTGAGGCCCCTCCAGTGGGAGGAGCAGTTGCAGCTTTATTCCCAAAGGGTGTTAATCCATGGATAAATGAGCCAGAGCCACCACTTCCAAGGTCTTCACGTGAAGACAAATTGAGACCAAAACCAGCTGTTGTGGTAATGTTATTTGCAGAATCTGCACACACGTGAGCTTGCTGTTGTTGTTGTTGCTGTTGAAGATGATGGTGATGGTGGGGTCTAATATTCATCAAGCTGCCATGAGATTGTGATGAAGGTGCAGGAGTACTAGTCTTGTTATTGCTCATCGTTGCACCCATATGTGCAGCTTTTTGCAGCAATGCAGTTGCTGACATGTGTGGTGATAAAGCGCCTCCTGCTGCTGCTGCGACTGTTTGGTGGTATGGAGGAAATGTGGGGCCAAGACTAGAATTAGGGTTTGGATGCATAAACTCTTGATGATGAGTAGTGTTAAAGATTGATGATGATGATGAAGAGAGATCTAAACCTTGTGTAATTGGTGGGCCAGGAATTGGTTGATTAGTAGCAAGCCATGGTGGTATTATTTCTTGTCTTAGGCTAAAACTTTGTTGCTCTTTTTTAAGTGCAAAAGTTTGGAGGTCTCGTGGGTCGAAGTGATTGACATGATGGGAAGAACTAGAACCAGGTTGATGTTGAGAAGAGAGTAGTACTGCAGGATTATTTGTTCCTGTAATTGCTCTTGCACTTTCTTCAGCTAAAGCATCACAGAAAGCTCTGTGTGTGATAAAACTATCCCTCCTGTAAAAAAATAAAAAAAATAAAAAAAATAAAAACACAAATACAAGCAAACAAAAGCAAAACCATCATAAAAGTATGCCTATGACAATGCCAGAAATATTTGACTTTCTTTCTCTCTTCCTCTCTTTTGCTTCTCTCTCTTTCTGCAAATCCATTTTTATTTTCTTTTTTCCTTTTTTATAACTCTGGGGAGGTATGGACAGATTGTCCACATTGGCAGCTTCAATTAAATTTATCCATTCTAAGCATTATATACTCTCTCTCTCTCTCTCTCTCTCTCTCTCTTTAGAGTACTATAAACTGGCTGCAAGTTATAAATGAAGAATATGAAATTACAGAAGTTTTGAAGAGACATTCACTTTGTCTAGAGATATCTCAATAAATGAAGAGTTTCGAATGTCGTCATTAAATGGGGTAATGATAAAATTTCATAACTTTGATGAGAAGAATATATATTTATTAGTATTAATCTGGATAATCAGTTACCTTGAGAAGAGGGTTCCACAGTCACATCTGTACTCTCTAGTGCCACAAGTCTTGGAGTGAGCTTTCCAATCTGATTGAACTGCATACCTCTTGGAGCATTTGTCACATTTCCACTTCTTCTCTCCATGTTTTCTGCAAAAATGTTTCTTGATTCCTGTTAAGTCTCCAAGAGCTCTTGAAGGGTCATGGTGGACACAGCTTGCTTCTGGACACACATACACCTTCTTCTTCACTTCTTTGTTTGTTCTTTGCTTTAACTTCCATGGCAAATTATGCCCTCTTCTATGAAGTTGAAGATTCTGGTCCCTTTGAAACCCTTTGTTACAGATCTCACACACAAATCTGTTTGTTGCCATCAGCGTTTTGGGTGACAAAGCCACCACTTCTGAATCTGGGTCTAATCCAAACCCCAAAACAAAAAACGAAAACAAAGTAAAAAACAATTTCCAAACGGAAACAACAACAGCAAGAACAAAAACATAATTGAATATTGATCAACCTGGGTTCCCTGGTAAGTTTCTTTTCTTTTTAGCAGGTGGTTGAACTTGAGATGGTGGTGGTGAAGCAAAGTATTGTTGAGGATTTCCTGAAGAAACACTAGCTTGATCACCAGATGCTGAAGTCAAATTAGACATGTTTTCTTCTAAAACTTGTTGTTGTTGCTGGTGGAATATCAAACCTTTCATCATCTTCTTCTCTAAGCTAAAGAAATTCTAAAACTCATGACCAACTTTGCATATAGATCTTGATAACAAGCTGGCTTAAGTTTTAAGATCTAAAGACAAGAAAAAGTCACAAAGTAAACCTAGCAAAGAAGAAGAAGAAGAAAGAAAAAAAAAAAAAATTATTTCTTAATAACTTTCATCATATATTGACATGGTTCCTTCCTTGTTTGGCTTCAACCCAAGAGACAATATTTTGTTTTTAAGAAAACTCATAAAGAAACAAATTAAGTAGAATTTATATTCAACTAGCTTAGAACTGAACAAGATGATATGATCTTCATGTAAGAAACATGCCAAAGAAAATCAAACAAAACAACCATACAAATATAAACAAAGAAGAAGAGAGAAAAAAAAAAAAAAAGAAGGAAAAAGATCACTCAGCCTCTCAAACAATTTCCTTTTGAGAGAGAAAGAGAGAAAGAGAGAGAGAGATGCGGGATGATAAGGTATCTGTATGTGTAATCCTGAAAGAAGTTCCAAAACCACAAAACACAACAAAGAGAAACCCTACGGCTAACTCATGACGTTACACTTTCTGTCTTTTCCTTTGTTCTCTTCCTCAAAACACCAGAAAAATCTCTACTTTCTTTATTCTCTAGCTATTTGCTTTTTAAAATTTTTATTATAAATTATTTACCATTTTCATTTTTACATTAATCTCTTTTGTTTAAGATTAAACAACTTTCCCTTCTTCATAAAGTAATGAGAAAGAGAGAGATGGACGTTGATTTGTATATATATATATATATTTTACATGATGGGTCGTAGACCCATACATGATTCACAACTTTCTCCATTAACAGAGACATGATTGATTCATTGATTAAATTTTTTTAACAGGCATGGCTTTCCTACAATTTTTTTTTTCACTATTTTAATCTAGATTCTTTTCATCATTCATGTAACTATTGTTTATACATATAGGGTTATTCTCTTCTTACAATTTTTCTATACTAAAAGATAAAATTAAATTATTACATGTATATACCATGAATATAAGGTCAAGTTTCAAATGAACAGTAAACGACCGATCGCATGTAACCAATCACTTAAAATCAGTCTGCATTTTCGATAATTCATGGCATCCACACTAGAGATTAACTGTTCTAAACCTAGAATATACGAACGTCTTGAAGTTTTTAAGATATACAGACGAAAGGTAAACGACTAATCGCATATAAATAATAACCTAGCTACTATTGGCTCACATAGTATATTGAAATTCTTTGTAAATTTTGCATGTTGCATTAAAAAAAAATTAAATAACTAAACCTAACTAGACTGCCTAACTTGACCTTAATAATTCTGGTGATGATTGAAATTAAGAACAGTATCAAAATGAATGAATTCTAGTAGTTGAAATAGTCATTATTTTCAAGGCTGTTATGAGTGACGATGTATCTATATATAGACTATAATTATCAACTATTATATGACAATCAAAAGATGGTTAACTAAATGGTAGATAAAGATACGAACACTATAGTTGACTTCTTGGTCATCAAATTTCAAGGTTTTTATTTATTTATATAAATTATGATCCTTTAACAGAATTATTTGACCCCATATTCTTAATTAATTTTAATATGAAAAAAAGTTGTGGGTTCATTGAAAATTAGGTAAAATTATGTGTATAAACATGTATATATTTCATTAAAATCGATAATATAATTCATCTATCTTGTAGACATTTACATTTTTTTAAATTACGAACGGTGTTACATTTAAACTAAAAAAACCCCATATAGCTCATGAGGAATATTAATAAATTAATTTGATTAATGAAGATTTCGATCCCGATTAAAATAATCGTGGGAACTTTATAGAGCTACATTGTCCTTCTGCTTGTTCATGTTTTCGATGAGTTTGTGTTCCCTCTCACAGAAATAAATAAATATTTTTGCTTTGTCATTTTCTTGTTTTATTCCTCAATAATGATTTAGTTTTTGAAATGGGATCTTGCTCGATCCCCAAGTCTCAATATGCTGTACCCCCAGCTCACCATGCCATTTAAATAACAAAAGAAAATTAAGATTTTAATTTATATTCATCAATTAATCTTGCTCCATAGATATCACTTATATTACCAAGAATGAGTATTGTTGATGCTATGAATTACACTCATGAGAAATACGTAGGATCCGTGATGAAATCTATGTAAAGGATTATATGAAATCATGTATCTGATGTAGGATAAATCATGGTTTGTGCCACCAGAACCGGTTCAAAGAACAAAGCTGTTACCAGCTAAGCTAGGGAGGATTCTATGAGTCATCTAAAGGCAATCTCTGTAAGACATCTCCGACCGGAGGGTAGATCAGCCATCTCACAAACGGATCCTATGTACTTACTTCTCCTTGGTGCAATTCACTGTATCAACAAATATAAATATAAATATATCTTAATTATGTATTAGTCATTTTCTCTTACAGACATTCTAATTTTCATGCATCTCTATCGTTAGGTATGCATGTCGAAATTTAAAAAAAGATAATCAAATTACGTATACATTAATTAAAAAATTGAGTGTGATTGTGAATTTTGGGTAGATATGAGAGGTATCCCATGTGACACTAGCTTGTTCTTCCCTAGTCAAATATTATGATCTATATATACTATATAAACAAATTACAAAGACTATATAATATAATATTTTAAGAGTGATTGATCCAACAATTAATATATGATAATCTATGAGTCAGCTATCATCAAACATTTGATTATCTTATAATCATCTGAGGGTCGGCTAATCGAGAATTATAAATATTGTCCTTAGTGGTAGGTAAACTGACATATACAAATTAATTATATAATTAATCCTTGCTTAATTAATTAATTAATTAAGATGCCTTCGATCAACCCCCCTTAACCCTTAAGCTAATTGTAATTCTTCTATTACCTTGATGATAATTATTTGGAGTTAATTAAGTTTTCAATGATTAATTAGAAAAATTTCTTTATAATATGTTTAAAAGCAGTTCCATTATGCAAACTAGTCCTTTAATTAATTAAAATATTATATCTTCAATTTGTCTTGAAACTTTTAATTATCTTTGAATACTATTTTAGCAACATTGCAACACATTAATAAGCTTTCATTCTTAATTAATTTACCCATGCTTAAGTTGGCCAAAAACCCACCAAGCAAGTGCCTCATTTATTTATTTATTTTACGTAAATCTTGACGGTAAAAGGAAAACTTTATCGAAAAGAAAGAATATAAAAATAAAAACGCATATGAAATGAAATGAAAATACTTCGATGAGAAGAATCGATTATCTTAATTTATCTGCTACTCCCTTTTCTTCACTAGAGAAATAATGTGCCTGAAAACCTATTAACTTCTGTAAAAACAATGAAATGACAAATACATATATTAATCTTTCATATATGATCCATAATCATCTCAGAAAATCTTTCTATGTATGAATTAGTGTACTTACACACACCATGCACCTCCCCCCACGTAAATCATAGATACTCAAATGGGGAATCGAACTTAAGACTGTGAGTCTTTCTATATTATCTCTAATTCGCTTTAACCATCTAGTTATCCACGGATGAGTTTTTTTTATTAATTATCTACATAAGCAGTATATAATTTTCATGCAACAACAATATCATTGCAAAAGATACATACTATATCTTCATGCACAGATGATAAATTTTTGGCCATGAAAATTAATTATATGAGTAAATAAATAGATAGATCTTCATTAATTTTTGGGTGATTTGATTTGGCAACAACCAATGCAATAATATAGTGATCGATCATTCATTAAATCTAAAAAGTATGAACAAATTTGTATGCCAGTTATTATTAGTTTAATTAGTTTGGGGACCTCTAATTAATCATGTTTAATTAATTACAATGTCAATCTAAAATGAAAAGAAAGTATAACATCAATAATAATTATTGTATGTTCCTCTTTATTTGATCTTTTAGCTAGCTAAACAATTAATTAAATTTATCATTGTTTAATTAAACTTTTGGTGCCACTTAATTTTACTCCTTAAATGCATATATAATAATTATTTATTTCATTAATAAATTATTATATTATTCACTTTATTATATTCAAACAAACCTATCCGTGAGCAGTCCAGATGGTTAGGACGAATTAGAGATAGTGTGTATAGACGCACGTTCTCAGATTCGATTCCCCATCTAAGTATCTTTAATTTAAGTGGGTCACTATAACGGTGTGTTGCTGCCCTATCTAAGCATTTCAGATTTAAGTGGGTTGTTGTGACGATGAATTATTGTCCTAATCTCTCTTGAGAAATAGTTAAGATACACGTAAGCTGAATCAGATACCTTAGTTTAAAAAAAAAAAATCAAACAAATTAATAACTTTCATTGCCACTTAAAACATATATATATAAAGAATTTGGAATTAATAATATGAAAAAGGAAAGGAAAAATTATGATTGGATTGTGTTATTTCTAGGTAAAATCACGTGTGGGAATATAGATTTCTCCTATTGCCCCAAATTGTAAGGCAAGTTTTTTTTAAAAAATTAAAAAATTAGAAGAAATATTAAAATTAAAATTAAAAAAAAAAAAATGAATGAAGGAAATCAAAATCAACATCATTATCATATGTGAATGTGTGCACTCAGAGTTCACGAGGGGGCACCCATAAAGCAGTAGGCCCATCACTAAATGATTGAGATATTTTGGGCCCACTTCAATTGTCAAACATCGTTCTATCATTCTACGCTACTCTCCATCTCCATCATCCTCCATGCACATGCATCTCCACAACCATCCGACCCACATACCTTTCATGTCATTTTATTGCTATAGTTAGAAAATTGTTGTCACGTCTCGAGTAGTTATTATTTATTTTGGATCCATAAAGTCCAGCCGCCTGGATTTGTTTTTTATTTGAACATAAGCATCCTTCATCCGAACAGAATCTATTTAACTAAAATAATATAAATCTTATAAAATGAATCTCAAATTCATTTACTGTCGGTGTGATAATTTTTGTTTTAAACAGGGTGTTCGAATCAGTTTATGTGTCCTCGACTAATCCCTGTAAGTGATTAGCACAATATCCCATCACCATGATCACATACTTAAATCGATTAATTTAAACTTTATTAATTTGTTTAATTTAGGTTTAAGTTTGGGATATTTAAGTCACTAATTATAATGGTGATTAATAAGAAAAAAAGAGTAAGAAAATTTTTTAAGGGAGGATCAGAGAATTTTAGGGCGAGGGTACATGGGAGATAATGGAGGTGAAGAGCATATTATAAGTTCTCTCTTTCACATAAAAACAATTATAAGTTACTGTTACAGCATTTCACCGTCTGTGTCAACTTACACACCCGTGAAAAGGACTAATCGAGGACTCGTACTGACCCGACAAGTCCACGCGGCGAGCAATGATTGGAAAGAGCATGAAAGATTCATGCAGAGTGCGTGACTTACAATTTTCTCTCTCTGGGTTCGTTGTCAGAGGAGGCGGCAAAATTCCTTTTGACACCTGTAAGCCACCTTTCCACAAATCTTACCCGTGGCCCCCAGCAGACAATGACTCCCCCAATTCTAATAACCTAAATTGAAATTCTACCAATTAGGGTTTCAAATTTTAAATTTCATGCCCATTGTCTCTACATTTTACATTTTTTATTTAAAATATTTAATGGGATTGTATATCACGCCATTGAAATATCTGTTCGATAACTTTGATATCAATAAACAGATACGATAGATGTCCGTTTGAATACATTTTATTTTATATTTATTTTAAATTTATCATTTTGAAAATTAATTTAGTTTGATTCACCGTTTTCTTTGAAAATTATACATGAGACAAATGATGATTCTTGTCCTTGTTAGGAAGGCCAAGCAAAGACCTATCGGTCGAATGTCTACATTCTCATGTCGTTAGGTTTTCGATTAGTAACATTATAACCCTGTTTTTAAAAAACCCAAACAATCCAAAACCTTGTCGACAAGGGTCCTCGATGAAATTTCATGAAGATTTTTTTTAACAAATTTAAGAATTTTAAACATAGTTTTAATTTAGTATATAGAGTCGATTTTCGAGAGGGGTGAGTAACCCAAATTATCAAAGGAAAAAGATGCAATCTCTAATCCAACTATATTTGGAAAAACACATCCCTTTGGAGGTTAGTCCAAACTTGAACAAACTATTTGTCATCATCAAAATCTAGCAGATTGAACCACAAGCACGCAACAGAGCCAAAGCAAATTTCAACCCGAATGGACGCTCAAATCAAATAGACATGCTTTGGGTGTAGATGGACAAAAAATGGTGACAATCAGCTTTTGCTGAGTGAATATGTACTGCCTTCGCGCATGCAAAAAGCAAGAGAAAATTGTCTTGACTACTACCATGCTACATACTGTACATGCATTTCAAAAAGGTTTTTAGCAGGTCCCATGGTGACAAGAGTTGGGCAATGAGGCCACCCTCTCTTGCTTTCAAAAATGTAGTGTCAGGGAAAGAGAAAAAGAAAAAGGTATATATAGCATATGCAGCAAGCAAACTTGAAGGGTCAGTCAAAATGGTGCGTCAAAGTCAGGCGACTTGGGCGAAAAGATTGAGTTTTTCTTATTCATTATGGATTTTAATGTTTGGTGAGAGTTGAGTTTCAAACTCGTGTTTGGTTAACATCCAGGGGAAAGAATCGGGCATATTGTTGTGGAAAAATGTATGATGAGTTACAAGAGGGAGATAAAGGGTAGAACATAATTGGTAAGCAATTCATTGCGGTCACATTAGAAGTAAAGTAAAGTAAAAGGCTAGAGCATTACTGGTACACGCAATCCATCATAACTTAGTTGTACGTCAAGACCTCCGTCTCCATCAATTTTGTAAGACCTTCACTCACTTTTTCATGGTCCATTAGATGATCATACCTTACAAGGGCAACATTAGGGAATGGAAGGAAAAGAAATGGGAATCAATAATTGAAGTGAGAATGCTCTTTAACTTGATTTAATACAAAAGGAAATGTTAACATACCGTGAAAAGTGTTCTCTTGGTTTGATTTTCCGCACTCCTCAAGCCTGAAAGAAAAGTTAAATCAAAAGTTAAATAAGGGTTTATTTATCATCAGAAGAAATCAAAAGTCATACCCTTGGAAGCCCGAGTGTGTTGAGAAGATCGATCAGGCCTTAAAGCATCCTGGAGAATTTATATGGCAAGCTAAAAGTAATCACAAAGAAAGAAGTATAACAACATGTGTTTGTGTGTGTGCCACTGAAAGAGAGAGAGAGCAGACCAAAATCAGGATTTCCAAGTCCCTTAGAAGGGATAAGTTTCTTCCGGTATGTACTAACATCACTGCAAAGCAAAAGTGAATAGAGGATCAACTCCCAAATCCTGATAAATTTAAGAAATGCAAGATAATGTTTAAAAGAGTATCAGATTTAGATGTACCTTATGTAACAAACATTGCCAAACGGAAACCAAGGGAACGATAACACACCATGCCACACTGTAAAGGGTATCTGAGACACCACATTTGATCAAGTCAGATAGATGCATATCAGAACCAAGTCAGATTATGATGAATCCATTTCATGTTGAATGCTTCAGTGAGGAAAGCCTAAATCAATATTTTGTTATAATTTACTTGGACAAAGACACCTTCATTCTATTATGCAAGAAGTTAAATGATTGATTCTTAAGGAGGGATCACATTGAAGTCAACTAGTCAAGAAAATAAGTTGATCATCTACAAACCAGACATTTGACGTTAGAATTAAGTTGGATTAGAGGACCTTAAATGATCCTCTGCATACTTGCTGTAGAAACCACAAAGCCCTCAAAGTTCAAGTTCTTATTTTCGATTTTCTTCCTCCACTCACAATCCAGATATAAGCAAACAAATTACATTTAAAATTAGTCTGTAGTCCACTATACAGCTAGAAGCACTAGGTCAAGAATGATAACTTGTGTCAGCTAGGGCGGCATTGATTAGTTTTCTATGATAAACTCAGGTTAAAGCAGGTTCAGAACTGTAAGTTTGAGAGTTAAAGATATCAATCATAGGTGAATAGAAGTCACCTTTCTACCTAAACTTAAAAAAAAAAATTATGAATATCAGTCACCTTCATATCATGAACAACAAATGGCTCCTCTTTATGATATTGAATTGCAATTCGGAAACTGCAGCCCAGGTATAAGCCACTTGTATCGACTAAGTAATATGAGTCTTCTTCATCACTGAAATCATGTTTCAGTGGCATGAATTAGTTCTAAGACACATAATAGCTCAGACTATTGAAGTTTCAGAGGGTGCCTTTCAGTATCAGTAATATCAATTTATCCAGACAATAAACATTTGCAGGCAGTAAACTAAAAATGTATGCAACTCAATACAATTTAATGGCTAAAAGCAGAAAAGTGAAATGAGGAAAAAAGAAGAGTTGAGATATTTGGAAAACAACAGCCATGTGAGGGCAAAGTCAAAATTACAACACAGTTGGACTACACCATCAGAGGCGCTACGTAATAATTAAGTTATGAGATGAATTTGTGTTGCCGTTGTCATATCCCTTACCATTGATACACTGAAGGCCTATTCACTGTTAAAAGTTATATACCCGGATTCACTCACTATGCTTCAATATACATAAGTTCTCAATCAAGGTTTCAGATCGGAGTACAAATGAAAGGAAGGCTAATGATAAATTTATAAAAATGTATTAATTTAGAATTACTATTTCACGCAAATAAGTTGCATTTGTGCACTAGCAGCTTTGCTGTGGATGTGTGCAACAAAAACCAATCATGTTTTTTTTTTAAAAAAAAAAAAAAAAGCAATGAGAGAGAGTAAGAAGGGTTGGGTTGGACCTCAAAATCACGCTTGCAACATAAATTGGAATGGGAGGCTGTACATTATTTGTCCAGTACGAAGATCATCAAGACCTGCAAAAAAGAGGAAAAAATTCTATACACAATCAAATAGTGTATCTCTTTCAAAGAAAAATACAAGATGAAGAGTAAAAATTAAGCAAATCTAAACTTGTTTATTTGACTATAGAATGAAACTAGAAAGTGTTCATTCAGAGACCTCCAATGCATCAGCATGAGAATGAGTAATTATAACCGCATCAGTTTTCTCTGACAGAAATGCAACTAGTTACAATGAGACAAATACTGACATAGACATAAATACCATAATAGAATAAAAAAAAGCACCACAATTTACATTTCAACTCTCTTTGATAATTAAGCATTAATAAAATAAATCATCGGCACTGTTATGAATGTAAGGTTGGACTTATCAGTTTAGAGCAGGGTTAGTGTTTGAGGCACTGGGTCAAAATAATGAGCAGATTATCAACAGAGAAAATATTTACAAAATATAGCATGGTATTCCAGTATAGCTAACATCAATCTCATGATCTAATACATAGCTCATTTCTACTCCTCGGTTATGCTTCCAAAAGGATAGCTATGATGTTTAGGCCAATTTTAAATGCATAACTAATTATCCTAACATGTACTAGGTGCAATTTACTGCACAAACCAATAGGAAAAATCAAATATTTTTATCTTCTATATAGACCATTAAAAATGTTAGAGTTTGGATGTGATGTGCAAAATAAACAAAAAATCTTAGTGCTCATGGAAATACTGAAACTACAATTGGAAAAACCAAGAACCTCAAGGAAACAGCAAGATAATGCTAAGAAAGAGATAAAGCAGTCCTACAGTAAATGCAAGTGTCTCTTCAACCAATGAATTCAAATATTTTAAAAAATCATCTGGACAACTATGCAGGTCCCAATCCAAAATCTTATATCAATTCTAAAATAATACAATTTCTTACGTGCACCCGCACTAAATCACATTCTCTTCACAAGCAACTTTTTTTGCAATGATTCAATAATCCATGTGACAGCTTCACAATGCCACATATAATCTTCTCACATCTACTGCATATACTCAAATAAATATAGATTGAACATGATGGCCAACCGATATTATCAAGCTGAATAAGAGGCTTAAAATTTTTTAAATCAATGAGATCGAACTAACCATAGGCAGGAAACCATCGTAGAGCACTATGGTAGAAAAACCTGCAACACGAGATTGAAGAGAAGATGTTGGAAATAAATATCTGAGATGTGAAACAAAAAAAAAAAAAAAAAAAAAATGTTGTGTTAATAGACACTTTCATCATATTTCAAGAGGCCAAATTCAGTCCCAAGGAACAAAATTCATTTTTCCCCAGAAATAATAAACAAATTTAGACAAGCAATAGGAATAAACATGCTTAGCATAACTGCAACTTCATGTTCTTTGTCACTAATATATCACAATTTAAGCTCATGTTATAACAAAGAATACTGCAATAAAACCAATAGGATGCAAAAATAGTTGAAGTAACAAAATTAATAAAATGCTGAAATTTCACAAACAGGAGTGAAGCCTTGAACTTCATTCATTTTCTTTCTTAATCATGTTAGGACATAAGCATGGCCAAAGGAGAAGTATCTTTCACTTACTTGCCAGCATCTATCAGAATGTTGTATCTTCCAGACGGCCCAGGATAGCGAATGAGGATACTAGTGTTGAGTCTCCTATTTTTATTACCAGGTTCCACAGCTTTGGTGCAAACCTGTGAAAAAACCATGTTGGGATCCATGTCATTAAATCTAATCATGAATATCATACGGCATAGTGGCTCAAGCACAGATATTTTTGTTACAATACCGGACATTTCTTTAAAGGATCTGTTAGGCAGCTCACACGAGGAATCCCTTCACTAGTTCCCGTCCCAATAAATATGATTTCAGATTGATGAGCAGGTAGCTGAACTCCAAGATCCTTATTTGCTGAATCTGTAATGCGATGCGGGGTCACCTTATAAGTATCTATAACAACTAATGATTGCATAAAATCCAACAAGCATCTATAACATTTTTCAATAAATCATACTATCAGCATCCCAGAAAATCACAGAATTCTGTTTAAGAATATATGTGAACCAAAAATTAAAGCAAACTTTTAGAAGAATTGTTTCTGTAAGGCTACGCAGCAAAATACATTAGTTAGATGAATTCAAATATTTCAATCAATTGAAATAAAAGGCACATTGAAATTCAAAACCATTGGCACCCAAAAGCTGAAAATCCAGCTGCATCATTTGAATCCACAAATCCAAAGAAACCATTCTAAACCAGAAAATGATACATCAAATCCCATATAGCAATGTTCTAAATAATGAAGAAACTAATCAATTGCATACAAAAGCAAGACAAAATAACCACTCATATACCAAGAAATGTATAAAAAAGAACGTACTAGATTGAAGGCAAGCTTGGAGAATCCTTTTGAACGGAAAGAACCCAGTTCGAGGAAAGGAAAGAGGAGAGTTGTAGAGAGATATTTGGCGCCTACAAGGTCCGAAAGAGGACATGGCAAATGGGGCTGGCCTCACAGTGCCAAGAAACGAAACCATTGACTTTCAAAGCTCAAAGCTTTTCACCTTTTTTTCTGAGCTCGAAAAAGAATGGGAAATTTTAGTATTCAAATTTACGAAAGTTATCGCTTTTCGTTAGATTTGTATGGAAAGTTTTGAGCTATAAAGACTTGTGAACAGTGAAGAAGACGAGCGAGCGACGACCAAGCCTGACCCCCCATTTACAAGGGGAAACGTCGTTAAGTCTTTGTTCATTGACATCACTCAGGTTTACATTGTTACTTTCAGAAATATGTGGATCAATTTGTACTTTTACTAAACCTTACATGTACACAAGACCCCATAATTTTAGGGATAAACTTTATCTTCCCCTGAGGTTTAGATTAATATTAAAAAACCCCTGAAGTTTTGGAAATGATAATGGAAAGAATGTGTGTGTGTGTGTGTGTGTTTTTTTTTTTTTTCATTTATAAACAAAAGAAGTTTATAAACTTATATCATTTATTCATCATCTTTGTTAATGCATTGAACATTTGCATGATTTCGCGAAGTAACATTAACGTTGAATCTAGTATCTAGTCGTCCAATCCAATGCGATGCATCAAATGCATCCGATAGGGTTACATATCGCATATATAATTTCACATTACAAGCGAAAATAGCTCCATAATTATATAATGATATTTCTGTAATGAACATAGTTGTTAAGGAGCGTTTGGTTCAAGGAATGTTAGATTACTGAAAATGTTGGATTACTAGAAAGTTAGATTACCTTGAAAATTACTGAGAATCTTTAGGAAAATGTGTTTGATTAATTGGTGGGTATGTTATATTAATATGTTTGGTTGGGAGGAATAAATTGATGGGTATGTTATTTAAATGATTGAATTGTCCTCTAATTAAATATTATGATTATATTATTTTTTAATATTGATTAATATAACCCCACTGCATTAAAAAACTTAGCAAAAAAAACCCCATAATAAAAGTTTAGGAAATCAACAAAGCACCCCTACCAACCCAGGCACTGCTGGCCCCCCGCAACCACCTCAAGTCGCCGACATCCAGCAACCTAACGGTGCACGGAAGGCAGGAAATGGCCTCCGTGAGCCGTATGGCCATTTCCAGCCAGAGATCTGGCAGGAAATGGCCAAACTTAACGGCCATATCGATGGCCATTAACGCCACATGACGACCATTTTCGACCTTTCGTGAGCCATTCTGACGGCGATGACGGTTGGCCGTGGCAGTGGTTGCCGGCGATAGGTGGGTGGAGGTGGCGGCTTGGGTAGGCTACAATTTGTTTTGAATTCAAGGGTAATTTTGTCCAAAAAGTTAATTAATTGGGGTGAAATAGTAAAAGCCATATCTATGTAAATAAATTTAAAAATAAGGGCATTATTGTCCTAAAATTTTATTAATAAGGGATAGAATTGTAACAAAAAAAGATAACCTTGGTAATCTTAAAATACCTAAGAAAATGGAGGTAATCAGATTACTTCCAATATTACCAATAGTAACCACTATCGGTAATTGAAGATTACCGGTATCTTATATTACTTGACAATTAAACATGGTTTTTATATAATATAAGATGACTTAACCTCAGTAATCTCCAATACCCCCCAACCAAACGCCCCTTTAGTGCTTTCTCAACGACATGTGATGAAAAATGCCAAAGTTAGTAGTTAGCACCTGCCTGCAATATATTTTCAAAACCCTAGAGGTAATATGTGAACAGAAAGCTCCATTTTGAGCATCAGATTTGTGTACTTTCTAGTGGGTTGATGGGGGCTAGATCGGTGGATAGATAGGGGGATTTTCTGGGGGATAAACTTATCGTTGATGCATGCTTAGGTAATATCTGATAATGACAATTATATACACATAATTTATGGTTGTCGAAGCGTCCCACTTGATCATCTGTTGTGCAGCACCAAAATACTGAACCTGTATACTCTATTTCCTCACAAGGGTTTGCGGAACCTGATTAATCAAAAAATGAATTCAATATTTATTATCAATATTAATACTTGTTCATATGCATTAACAACTTACATTGATGGAGAGGCAAGATTGTTGCAAAGACAATGAAAACGAGAGCCAGATTAACCTAATTCAAACGCTTGAAAATGTTTTTCGCCATGGAAAATAATCTATAACAGATAGAGGGGGTTGAATGATGTGCAACAAAGTTTCTAGATCTTAATTTATATAACATAAGTTTTTTAACCAAAGATAACCTAATTTTCTTAGTTTGTTACATACTTATAACCTAACTTTCCTTCAAATTTTAATCTTCAACTCTAATTTATAGTATATTGTTTAATTGTTGTCAAATAATAAAATGATAGTTAGAAAATCTATTTCGCCCTAACCATCTAGGTTATAGAACTTTTTTCTTACACATAATAAAGTTTTGAAAGTGTTGCGGTTTGGGACTAAACTAAACACTAATCAACCAATTAATCACAAAAGAAATCAAGAACAAGCAAACACACACATAGAGGTGGGCAGGGACCAGTAGCTCATGGGCCTAGGACTGGGCCTAGGCGCATGAGCAAAATAAGGACTCGGATCGGTCCTTAGGATTGATCCTATGGGCCTGGAAAATTTCTTTTCCCACTTGATCTTTTTTTATATTTTGGGGGCGAAACGAAATTTTATAGGGGGTTTTTGGTATTTTTTTAAGGGTAGATTAGTAAGTTTTTAAAAATTTAATTAATTTTAAAAAATAATAAATTAATTAATAGTTAATTTTAATTTTTAACATAAATTTACGTTCCACACATTCACGCTTCACAAATAAAAAATTAAATAATTTTTTTAATTAAATAATTCATTTTCATCGTCAATAATATTTACATAATTCAAATCAGTATTCCTAAAGAGTTCGAGTAGTTCGGGATCTTCAGGGTGCTATTGTAGCCTTCTTTCTACATGAGTCTAATCTCGTAAACACGTTATCACTTCAATCATCTCATTGGTTAAAGAACATCTTCTGTCTTCAACAATCCGACCACTCGTTGAAAATGTTGACTCAGATGCAATTGTAGAAATCGGCACAGATAAAATATCACGTGCCATTTGGGCTACAATGGGGAATCAACTTTCATGTTGGTTCCACCACTGAAAAATATCCATATCATGTTGCTCATTCATCGTCATATAGGACAGATCCACTTGTAGGTAACGATTAAGCTCATTTGGTCCATGTATGTATGAGCTGGAGCTGCTACTTTCGCCACGTTCCACATACGTCCACTTGCTCGATCCTTGACGGAGGGCTACATTAAGGTCTGGATCCTTTCTCTTGAACGTTTCACTTCCACTTCCACTTTACCTGTTCTCATATAAAGAAAAAAGGCTATCCAATTTTTGTTTAAAGTTAGTCAAATAAGATGTATAATCATGTCCTAAATGATGACCTATCTCAGTAATTATACAGTTAACTACGTGTAATTTAAACCTAGGATCTAAAACAAGGCCTAATCCATATAAGAATGGAATATCTAACCAATATCTCTCATATTTTTCTTCCATCTTTGAAACAATTTCACTTAAAATGCTATTATATCTATATTGAGCAAAAGTTTTAGAAATTTGAAATAAAATATCAAATATTAAATTAGTAGTTGGATAATAAATACCACTTAATATATTAGTAGCATCATAAAAAATTTGAAAAAATGAATAAAAAAGTTCACAAACCGCCCAATCATCATAGCTGACAACTTCCTTTGGATGGTTCTTCCGGTTGACAAAATCTATAATTTGTTTCACGGTTGGCAAAGCTTTTTCCAACATCAGGTAGATGGAGTTCCAACAGATAGGCATGTCTGTACATAACTTCAAAGGTCGAACCGGTGGGTCCTCTTGCTTATAATATTTGACATACTTCTACCATCTTTTATTGCTACCGTTGACGATAAATCCGATAGCTCTGCGCACCCTCTCCATCTTCGAATGTATAGCATCTAAACCTGCTTTAACTATCAAATTGATGATGTGGCAAGCACATCTCTGGTGAAAAAATTTGCCTTCACCATGCAGATCCAATTTCTTTTCAAATAAAGAGATTGCCGCGGTGTTAGCATATCAGTTAATAAATATTCATGCAAAACTTCAAGAATTGTAAAATAAATAGTTTCAGCACTATGTTTTTCATATAATGGTTTAAAACCTATCAATTTTTGTTGTAAACCCCAATTGGGCAAAGTTCAAATTACAACACAGTGTGACCTACACCATCAGAGGCCGCTACGTATAATTAAGTTATGAGATGACATTTGCTAGTTGCAGGTTGTCGTATCCATTACCATTGATCACTGAGCCTAATTCCTATTTGTTAAAAGTTATATAACCCAGGATTTACTAACTATGCTTCAATATACATGAGTTTCCAATCAAGGTTTCAGATCGGAGTACAAATGAAAGGAAGCTAATGATAAATTTATAAAAATGTATTAATTTTATGAATTACTAATTTCATGCAAATAGTTCATTTTGTGCACTAGCAGCTTTGCATGTGCAAACAAACCAATCATGTTTTTTTTTTTTTTAAACAAAAAAAAAAGGCAATGATAGAGAGTAAGAAGGGTTTGGGTTGGACCTCAAAATCACGCCTTGCAACATAAATTGGAATGTGAGGCTGTACTTATTTGTCCAGTCACGAAGATCTCAAGACCTGCAAAAAAGAGGAAATTTTTTTTCTATACACAATCAATATGTGTATCTCTTTCAAAAGAAAAATACCAAGATGAAGACGTAAAAATTTAAAGCAAATCATAAACTTGTTTATTTGACTATAGAATGAAACTAGAAAGTGTTCATGTCAGAGACCTCCAATTGCATCAGCATGAGAATGAGTAATTATACCGCATCAATTGTTCTTATCCTACAGAAATGCAACTAGTTACAATGAGACAAATACCTGACATAGACATATATCCATAATAGAATAAAAAAAGCACCACAATTTAACCATTTCAACCTTCTTTGATAATTAAAGGCATAATAACTAAATCATCGGCACTGTCAGTAGAATGTAAGGTTGGACTCTTATCAGTTTTAGAAGCAGGTTAGTGTGTTGAGGCACTGGGTCAAAATATGACAGATTATCAACACAGAAAAATATTATACAAATATAGCATGGTATTCCAGTATAGCTAACATCAATCTCATGATCTAATACATAGCTCATTTCTACTCCTCGGTTATGCTTCCAAAACGGATAGCTATGAGTGTTTAGGCCAATTTTAAATGCATAACTAATTATCCTAACATGTACTAGGTGCATATTTACTGCACAAACCAATAGGAAAAATCAAATATTTTTATCTTCTATATAGACATTAAAAATGTTAAGAGTTTGGATGCTGATGTTGCAATAATAACAAAAAAATCTTAGTGCTCATGGAAATACTGAAACTACAATCGGAAAAACCAAGAACCTCAAGAACAGCAAGATAATGCTAAGAAAGAGATAAAGCATGTCCTACAGTAAATGCAAGTGTCTCTTCAATCCAATGAATTCAAATATTTTAAAAAATCATCTTGGACAACTATGCAGGTCCCAATCCAAAATCTTATATCCAATTCTAAAATAATACAATTTCTTACGTGCACCTGCACCTAAATCACATTCTCTTCACAAGCAACTTTTTTTTGCAATGATTCAATAATCCATGTGACAGCTTCTACAATAGCCACATACAATCTTCTCACATCTACTGTCATATACTCAAATAAATTCATAGTTGAACATGATGGCCAACCGATATCTATCAAGCCTGATAAGAGGCTTAAAATTTTTAAATCAATGAGATCGAAACTAACCCAGGCAGGAAACCATCGTAGAGCACTATGGTAGAAAAACCTGCAACACGAGATTGAAAGAGAATGTTGGAAAATAAATATCTGAGACTGTGAAACCTTAAAAAAAAAAAAAAAAAAAATGTTGTGTAATAGACACTTTCATCATATTTCAAGAGGCCAAATTCAGTCCCAAGGAACAAAATTCATTTTTCCCCAGAAATAATAACAAAATTAGACAAGCGATAGGAATAAACATGTTTAGCATAACTGCAACATCATGCTCTTTGTCACTAATATATCACAATTTAAGCTCATGTTATAACAAGAATACTGCAATAAAACCAATAGGATGCAAAAATAGTTGAAGTAACAAAATTAATAAAATGCTGAAATTTCACAAACAGGAGTGAAGCCTTGAACTTCATTCATTTTCTTTCTTAATCATGTTAGGACTAAGCATGGCCAAGGAGAAGTATCTTTCACTTACTTGCCAGCATCTATCAGAATGTTGTATCTTCCAGACGGCCCAGGATAGCGAATGAGGATACTGTGTTAGTCTCCTATTTTTATTACCAGGTTCCACAGCTTTGGTGCAAACCTGTGAAAAAACCATGTTGGGATCCATGTCATTAAATCTAATCATGAATATCATACGGCATAGTGGCTCAAGCACGATATTTTGTTACAATACCGGACATTTCTTTAAAGGATCTGTTAGGCAGCTCACACGAGGAATCCCTTCACTAGTTCCCGTCCCAATAAATATGATTTCAGATTGATGAGCAGGTAGCTGAACTCCAAGATCCTTATTTGCTGAATCTGTAATCCGATGCGGGGTCACCTTATAAGTACTATAACAACTAATGATTGCATAAAATCCAACAAGCCTCTATAACATTTTTCAATAAATCATACTATCAGCATCCCAGAAAATCACAGAATTCTGTTTAAGAATATATGTGAACCAAAAATTAAAGCAAACTTTTAGAAGAATTGTTTCTGTAAGGCTACGCAGCAAAATACATTAGTTAGATGAATTCAAATATTTCAATCAATTGAAATAAAAGGCACATTGAAATTCAAAACCATTGGCACCCAAAAGCTGCAAATCCAGCTGCATCATTTGAATCACAAATCCAGAGAAACCATTCTAAACCAGAAAAGATACATCAAATCCCATACAGCAATGTTCTAAATAATGAAGAAACTAATCAATTGCATACAAAAGCAAGACAAAATAACCACTCATATACCAGAAATGTATAAAAAAGAACGTACTAGATTGAAGGCAAGCTTGGAGAATCCTTTTGAACGGAAAGAACCCAGTTCGAGAAAGGAAAGAGGAGAGCTGTAGAGGGATATTTGGCGCCTACAAGGTCCGAAAGAGGACATGGCAAATGGGGCTGGCCTCACAGTGCCAAGAAACGAACCATTGACTTTCAAAGCTCAAAGCTTTTCACCTTTTTTTCTGAGCTCGAAAAGAATGGGAAATTTTAGTATTCAAATTTACGAAAGTTATCGCTTTTCGTTAGATTTGTATGGAAAGTTTTGAGCTATAAAGACTTGTGAACAGTGAAGAAGACGAGCGAGCGACGACCAAGCCTGACCCCCCATTTACAAGGGGAAAGTCGTTAAATGGATAGTCTTTGTTCATTGACATCACTCAGGTTTACATTGTTACTTCAAAATATGTGGATCAATTTGTACTTTTACTAAACCTTACATGTACACAAACCCCTAATTTTAGGGATAAACTTTATCTTCCCCTGAGGTTTAGATTAATATTAAAAAACCCCTGAAGTTTTGGAAATGATAATGGAAAGAATGTGTTTTTTTTTTTTTTTTTTTTTTTCATTTATAAACAAAAAGTTTATAAACTTATATCATTTATTCATCATCTTTGTTAATGCATTGAACATTTGCATGATTTCGCGAAGTAACATTAACGTTGAATCTTATCTAGTCGTCCAATCCAATGCGATGCATCAAATGCATCCGATAGGGTTACATATCGCATATATAATTTCACATTACAAGCGAAAATAGCTCCATATTATTAATGATATTTCTGTAATGAACATAGTTGTTAAGGAGCGTTTGGTTCAAGGAATGTAGATTACTGAAAATGTTGGATTACTAGAAAGTTAGATTACCTTGAAAATTACTGAGAATCTTTAGGAAAATGTGTTTGATTAATTGGTGGGTATGTTATATTATTTTTTGGTTGGGAGGAATAAATTGATGGGTATGTTATTTAAATGTTGAATTGTCCTCTAATTAAATATTATGATTATATTATTTTTTATATTGATTAATATAACCCCACTGCATTAAAAAACTTAGCAAAAAAACCCCATAATAAAATTTAGGAAATCAACAAAGCACCCCTACCAACCCAGGCTGCTGGCCCCCCGCACCACCTCAAGTCGCCGACATCCAGCACCTAAGGTGCACGGAAGGCAGGAATGGCCTCCGTGAGCCGTATGGCCATTTCAGCCAGAGATCTGGCAGGAAATGGCCAAACTTAACGGCCATATCGATGGCCATTAACGCACACTGACGACCATTTTCGACCTTTCGTGAGCCATTCTGACGGCGATGACGGTTGGCCGTGGCAGTGGTTGCCGGCGATAGGTGGTGGGGTGGCGGCTTGGGTAGGCTACAATTGTTTTGAATTCAAGGGTAATTTTGTCCAAAAAGTTAATTAATTGGGGTGAAATAGTAAAAGCCTATCTATGTAAATAAATTTAAAAATAAGGGCATTATTGTCCTAAAATTTTATTTAAGGGATAGATTGTAACAAAAAAGATAACCTTGGTAATCTTAAAATACCTAAGAAAATGGAGGTAATCAGATTACTCCAATATTACCAATAGTAACCACTATCGGTAATTGAAGATTACCGGTATCTTATATTACTTGACAATTAACATGGTTTTTATATAATATAAGATGACTTAACCTCAGTAATCTCCATACCCCCCAACCAAACGCCCCTTTAGTGCTTTCTCAACGACATGTGATAAAAATCCAAAGTTGTAGTTAGCACCGTGCCTGCATATATTGGTGAGTTTAACCCAAATTATCAAAGGAAAAAGATGCAATCTCTAATCCAACTATATTTGGAAAAACACATCCCTTTGGAGGTTAGTCCAAACTTGAACAAACTATTTGTCATCATCAAAATCTAGCAGATTGAACCCACAAGCACGCAAAGCCAAAGCAAATATTCAACCCAGAATGGACGCTCAAATCAATCAGACATGCTTTGGGTGTAGATGGACCAAATAATGGTGACAATCAGCTTTTGCTGAGTGAATATGTACTGCCTTCGCGCATGCAAAAAGCAAGAGAAAATTGTCTTGACTACTACCAGTGCTACTACTACTGTACATGCATTTCAAAAAGGTTTTTATGCAGGTCCCATGGTGACAAAGAGTTGGGGCAATGAGGCCACCCTCTCTTGCTTTCAAAAATGTATGTGTCAGGGAAAGAGAAAAAGAAAAAGGAATATATATAGCATATGCAGCAAGCAAAACTTGAAGGGTCAGTCAAAATGGTGCCGTCAAAGTCAGGCGACTTGGGCGAAAAGTCATTTGAGTTTTTCTTATTTCATTATGGATTTTAATGTTTGGTGAGAGTTGTAGTTTCAAACTCGTGTTTGGTTAACATCCAGGGGAAAGAATCGGGCATTATTGTTGTGGAAAAATGTATGATGAGTTACAAGAGGGAGATAAAGGGTAGAACATAATTGGTATATGCAATTCATTGTGGTCACATTAGAAGTAAAGTAAAGTAAAAGGCTAGAGCATTACTGGTACACGCAATCCATCATAACTTAGTTGTACGTCAAGACCCTCCGTCTCCATCAATTTTGTAAGACCTTCACTCACTTTTTCATGGTCCATGAGATGCATCATACCTGTACAAGGGCAACATTAGGGAATGGAAGGAAAAGAAATGGGAATCAATAATTGAAGTGAGAATGCTCTTTAACTTGATTTAATAACAAAAGGAAATGTTAACATACCGGTGAAAAGTGTTCTCTTCGGTTTGATTTTCCGCACTTCCTCTAACGCCTGAAAGAAAAGTATAAATCAAAAGTCGAAATAAGGGTTTATTTATCATCAGAAGAAATCAAAAGTCATACCCTTGGAAGCCCGAAGTGTGTTGCAGAAGATCGATCAGGCCTTAAAGCATCCTGGAGAATTTATATGGCACAAGCTAAAAAGTAATCACAAAGAAAGAAGTATACAACATGTGTTTGTGTGTGTGCGCACGTGAAAGAGAGAGAGAGCAGACCAAAATCAGGATTTCACAATCCCTTAGAAGTGGATAAGTTTCTTCCGGTATGTCACTAACATCACTGCAAAGCAAAAGTGAATAGAGGATCAACTCCCAAATCCTGATAAATTTAAGAAAAATGCAAGCATAATGTTTAAAGAGACGTATCAGATTTAGATGTACCTTATGTAACAAACATTGCCAAAACGGAAACCAAGGGAACGATAATCACGACCATGCCACACTGGTAAAGGTGTAATCTGAGACACCACATTTGAATCAAGTCAGATAAGATGCATATCAGAACCAAGTCAGATTATGATGAATCCATTTCATGTTGAATGCTTCAGTGAGGAAAGCCTAAATCAATAAATCTTTTGTTATAAATTTACCTTGGATGAAGAAACACTTTCATTCTATTTATGCAAAGAAAGTTAAATGATTGATTCTTAAGGAGGGATCACATTGAAGTCAACTAGTCAAGAAAATAAGTTGATCATCTACAAACCAGACATTTGACGTTAGAATTTAAGTTGGATTAGAGGACCTTTAAATGATTACTCTGCATACTTGCTAAGTAGAAACCACAAAGCCCTCACAAGTTCAAGTTCTCTATTTTCGAGTTTTCTTCGTCCACTTCACAATCCAGATATAAGCAAACAAATGTACAATCTTCAAAATTAGTCTGTAGTCTCACTATACAGCTATGAAGCAGCTAGGTCAAAGAATTTGATAACTTGTTTCAGCTAGGGCGGCATTGATTTAGTTTTCTATGATTAAACTCAATGGGTTAAAGCAGGTTCAGAAACTTGTAAGTTTGAGAGTTAAAAGATATTCAATCATAGGTGAATAGAAGTCACCTTTCTACCTAAACTTTAAAAAAAAAAAAAAAAAATTATGAATATCAGTCACCTTCATATCATGAACAACAAATGGCTCCTCGTTTATGATATTGAATTGCAATTCGGAAACTGCAGCCCCAGGTATAATGCCACTTGTATCGACTAAGTAATAATGAGTCTTCTTCATCACCTGAAATCATGTTAACAGTTGGCATGGAATTAGTTCTAAGAACAAATTATAGCTCAGACTATTGAAGTCTCAGAGAGTGCCTTTCAGTATCAGTAAAGTATCAATTTATCCAGACAAATAACAGTTTGACAGGCAGTAAACTAAAAAAAATGGTATGCAACTCAATACAATTTAATGGCTAAAAGCAGAAAAGTGAAATGAGGAAAAAAGCAAGAGTTGACTATTTGGAAAACAAACAGCCATTGTGAGGGGCAAAGTTCAAAATTACAACACAGTGTGACCTACACCATCAGAGGCCGCTACGTAATAATTAAGTTATGAGATGACATTTGCTAGTTGCAGTTGTCGTATCCATTACCATTGATACACTGAAGGCCTAATTCCTATTTGTTAAAAGTTATATAACCCAGGATTTACTAACTATGCTTCAATATACATGAGTTCTCAATCAAGGTTTCAGATCGGAGTACAAATGAAAGGAAGGCTAATGATAAATTTATAAAAATGTATTAATTTTATGAATTACTAATTTCATGCAAATAAGTTGCATTTTGTGCACTAGCAGCTTTGCATGTGCATGTGCATGTGCATGTGCAAACAAACCAATCATGTTAAAAAAAAAAAAAAAATGCAATGAGAGAGAGTAAGAAGGGTTTGGGTTGGACCTCAAAATCACGCCTTGCAACATAAATTGGAATGTGAGGCTGTACATTATTTGTCCAGTCACGAAGATCATCAAGACCTGCAAAAAAGAGAAAAAAAAAAAAAAAATTCTATACACAATCAAATACGTGTATCTCTTTCAAAAGAAAAATACCAAGATGAAGACGTAAAAATTTAAAGCAAATCATAAACTTGTTTATTTGACTATAGAATGAAACTAGAAAGTGTTCATGTCAGAGACCTCCAATTGCATCAGCATGAGAATGAGTAATTATAACCGCATCAATTGTTCTTATCCTGACAGAAATGCAACTAGTTACAATGAGACAAATACCTGACATAGACATATATACCATAATAGAATAAAAAAAAGCACCACAATTTAACCATTTCAACCTTCTTTTGATAATTAAAGGCATTAATAACTAAATCATCGGCACTGTCAGTAGAATGTAAGGTTGGACTCTTATCAAGTTTAGAAGCAGGGTTAGTGTTTTGAGGCACTGGGTCAAAATAATGAGCAGATTATCAACAGAGAAAAATATTATACATAATATAGCATGGTATTCCAGTATAGCTAACATCAATCTCATGATCTAATACATAGCTCATTTCTACTCCTCGGTTATGCTTCCAGAACAGATAGCTATGATTGTTTAGGCCAATTTTAAATGCATAACTAATTATCCTAACATGTACTAGGTGCATATTTACTGCACAAACCAATAGGAAAAATCAAATATTTTTATCTTCTATATAGACAATTAAAAATGTTAAGAAGTTTGGATGCTGATGTTGCAATAATAACAAAAAAATCTTAGTGCTCATGGAAATACTGAAACTACAATTGGAAAAACCAAGAACCTCAAGGAAACAGCAAGATAATGCTAAGAAAAGAGATAAAGCATGTCCTACAGTAAATGCAAGTGTCTCTTCAATCCAATGAATTCAAATATTTTAAAAAATCATCTTGGACAACTATGCAGGTCCCAATCCAAAATCTTATATCAAATTCTAAAATAATACAATTTCTTACGTGCACCTGCACCTAAATCACATTCTCTTCACAAGCAACTTTTTTTTGCAATGATTCAATAATCCATGTGACAGCTTCTACAATAGCCACATACAATCTTCTCACATCTACTGTCATATACTCAAATAAATTCATCATTGAACATGATGGCCAACCGATATCTATCAAGCCTGAATAAAGAGGCTTAAAATTTTTTAAATCAATGAGATCGAAACTAACCCATAGGCAGGAAACCATCGTAGAGCACTATGGTAGAAAAACCTGCAACACGAGATTGAAAGAGAGATGTTGGAAAATAAATATCTGAGACTGTGAAACCTTAAAAAAAAAAAAAAAAAAAAAATGTTGTGTTAATAGACACTTTCATCATATTTCAAGAGGCCAAATTCAGTCCCAAGGAACAAAATTCATTTTTCCCCAGAAATAATAAACAAATTTAGACAAGCAATAGGAATAAACATGCTTAGCATAACTGCAACTTCATGTTCTTTGTCACTAATATATCACAATTTAAGCTCATGTTATAACAAAGAATACTGCAATAAAACCAATAGGATGCAAAAATAGTTGAAGTAACAAAATTAATAAAATGCTGAAATTTCACAAACAGGAGTGAAGCCTTGAACTTCATTCATTTTCTTTCTTAATCATGTTAGGACATAAGCATGGCCAAAGGAGAAGTATCTTTCACTTACTTGCCAGCATCTATCAGAATGTTGTATCTTCCAGACGGCCCAGGATAGCGAATGAGGATACTAGTGTTGAGTCTCCTATTTTTATTACCAGGTTCCACAGCTTTGGTGCAAACCTGTGAAAAAACCATGTTGGGATCCATGTCATTAAATCTAATCATGAATATCATACGGCATAGTGGCTCAAGCACAGATATTTTTGTTACAATACCGGACATTTCTTTAAAGGATCTGTTAGGCAGCTCACACGAGGAATCCCTTCACTAGTTCCCGTCCCAATAAATATGATTTCAGATTGATGAGCAGGTAGCTGAACTCCAAGATCCTTATTTGCTGAATCTGTAATGCGATGCGGGGTCACCTTATAAGTATCTATAACAACTAATGATTGCATAAAATCCAACAAGCATCTATAACATTTTTCAATAAATCATACTATCAGCATCCCAGAAAATCACAGAATTCTGTTTAAGAATATATGTGAACCAAAAATTAAAGCAAACTTTTAGAAGAATTGTTTCTGTAAGGCTACGCAGCAAAATACATTAGTTAGATGAATTCAAATATTTCAATCAATTGAAATAAAAGGCACATTGAAATTCAAAACCATTGGCACCCAAAAGCTGAAAATCCAGCTGCATCATTTGAATCCACAAATCCAAAGAAACCATTCTAAACCAGAAAATGATACATCAAATCCCATATAGCAATGTTCTAAATAATGAAGAAACTAATCAATTGCATACAAAAGCAAGACAAAATAACCACTCATATACCAAGAAATGTATAAAAAAGAACGTACTAGATTGAAGGCAAGCTTGGAGAATCCTTTTGAACGGAAAGAACCCAGTTCGAGGAAAGGAAAGAGGAGAGTTGTAGAGAGATATTTGGCGCCTACAAGGTCCGAAAGAGGACATGGCAAATGGGGCTGGCCTCACAGTGCCAAGAAACGAAACCATTGACTTTCAAAGCTCAAAGCTTTTCACCTTTTTTTCTGAGCTCGAAAAAGAATGGGAAATTTTAGTATTCAAATTTACGAAAGTTATCGCTTTTCGTTAGATTTGTATGGAAAGTTTTGAGCTATAAAGACTTGTGAACAGTGAAGAAGACGAGCGAGCGACGACCAAGCCTGACCCCCCATTTACAAGGGGAAACGTCGTTAAGTCTTTGTTCATTGACATCACTCAGGTTTACATTGTTACTTTCAGAAATATGTGGATCAATTTGTACTTTTACTAAACCTTACATGTACACAAGACCCCATAATTTTAGGGATAAACTTTATCTTCCCCTGAGGTTTAGATTAATATTAAAAAACCCCTGAAGTTTTGGAAATGATAATGGAAAGAATGTGTGTGTGTGTGTGTGTGTTTTTTTTTTTTTTCATTTATAAACAAAAGAAGTTTATAAACTTGTATCATTTATTCATCATCTTTGTTAATGCATTGTACATTTGCATGATTTCGCGAAGTAACATTAACGTTGAATCTAGTATCTAGTCGTCCAATCCAATGCGATGCATCAAACTCATCCGATAGGGTTACATATCGCATATATAATTTCACATTACAAGCAAAAATAGCTCCATAATTGTATAATGATATTTCTGTAATGAACATAATTGTTGAGGGGTGTTTGGTTCAGTGAATGTTAGATTACTGGGAATGTTGGATTATTAGAAAGTTAGATTACCTTGAAGATTACTGGGAATCTTTAGGAAAATGTGTTTGGTTAATTTGTGGGTATGCTATATTAATAAGTTTGATTGGGAGGAATAAATTGGTGGGTATGTTATTTAAATTACTGAATTGTCCTCTAATTAAATATTATGATCATATTATTTTTATAATATTGATTATTATTTGGATTTTTATAACTCCCCTGCATTTAAAAACTTAGCAAAAACAAGCCCATAATAAAAGTTTGGAAAATCAACAAAGCACCCCCACTAACCCGGGCACTGCCAGTCGCCAGCAACCACCGCAGGCCGTTGGCATCCAGCAACCTAATGGCGCACGGAAGGCAGGAAATGGCCTCCATGCATTGTATGGCCATTTCCAGCCGGAGATCTGGCCGAAAATGGCCAAACTTGACAGATCTGGCTGTCACGGCCAGATAGATGGCCATTAACGACCACAGATGTGGCCGTTAACTGCCATGACAGCCAAATCCATCGATTTGGCAGTCAACGACTAGATTGATGGCCGTTGACAGCCAGATCTGGCCATGTCGGTGCACGACAACCGTTTTCAGCCTTCCGTGAGCCGTTTCGACGGCTACGGCGGCTGGCCACGGCAGTGGTTGCCGGCGGCAGGTGGGTGGGGGTAGTGGCTTGGGTGGGCTACAATTTGTTTTGAATTCAAGAGTAATTTTGTCCAAAAAGTTAATTAATTAGGGTGAAATAGTAAAAGCCATATTCATGTAAATAAATTTAAAAATAAGGGCATTATTGTCCTAAAATTTTATTAATAAGGGATATAATTGTAACAAAAAAATAATAATAATAATCCTGGTAATCTTAGAATACCTAAGAAAATGGAGGTAATCAGTTTACCTCCAATATTACCAATAATAACCACTATTGGTATTTGAAGATTACCAGTATCTTATATTACTTGACAACCAAATATGGTAATCAAGTAATATAAGATGACTTAACCCCAGTAATCTCTAATACCCCCCAACCAAACGCCCCCTTAGTGCTTTCTCGACGACATTTGATGAAAAATGCCAAAGTTAGTAGTTAGCACCTGCCTGCAATATATTTTCAAAACCCTAGAGGTAATATGTGAACAGAAAGCTCCATTTTGAGCATCAGATTTGTGTACTTTCTAGTGGGTTGATGGGGGCCAGATCGGTGGACAGATCGGAGGATTTTCTGAGGGATAAACTTATCGTTGATGCATGCTTTGGTAATATCCGATAATGACAATTATATACACATAATTTATGGTTGTCAAAGCATCCCACTTGATCATCTGTTGTGCAGCACCAAAATACTGAACCTGTATACTCTATTTCCTCACAAGGGTCTGCAGAACCTGATTAATCAAAAAATAAATTCAATATCTATTATCAATATTAATACTTGTTCATATGCATTAACAACTTACATTGATGGAGAGGCAAGATTGTTGCAAAGACAATGAAAACGAGAGCCAGATTAACCTAATTCAAACGCTTGAAAATGTTTTTCGCCATGGAAAATAATCTATAACAGATAGAGGGAGTTGAATGATGTGCAACAAAGTTTCTAGATCTTAATTTATATAACNATAGCTCCATAATTGTATAATGATATTTCTGTAATGAACATAATTGTTGAGGGGTGTTTGGTTCAGTGAATGTTAGATTACTGGGAATGTTGGATTATTAGAAAGTTAGATTACCTTGAAGATTACTGGGAATCTTTAGGAAAATGTGTTTGGTTAATTTGTGGGTATGCTATATTAATAAGTTTGATTGGGAGGAATAAATTGGTGGGTATGTTATTTAAATTACTGAATTGTCCTCTAATTAAATATTATGATCATATTATTTTTATAATATTGATTATTATTTGGATTTTTATAACTCCCCTGCATTTAAAAACTTAGCAAAAACAAGCCCATAATAAAAGTTTGGAAAATCAACAAAGCACCCCCACTAACCCGGGCACTGCCAGTCGCCAGCAACCACCGCAGGCCGTTGGCATCCAGCAACCTAATGGCGCACGGAAGGCAGGAAATGGCCTCCATGCATTGTATGGCCATTTCCAGCCGGAGATCTGGCCGAAAATGGCCAAACTTGACAGATCTGGCTGTCACGGCCAGATAGATGGCCATTAACGACCACAGATGTGGCCGTTAACTGCCATGACAGCCAAATCCATCGATTTGGCAGTCAACGACTAGATTGATGGCCGTTGACAGCCAGATCTGGCCATGTCGGTGCACGACAACCGTTTTCAGCCTTCCGTGAGCCGTTTCGACGGCTACGGCGGCTGGCCACGGCAGTGGTTGCCGGCGGCAGGTGGGTGGGGGTAGTGGCTTGGGTGGGCTACAATTTGTTTTGAATTCAAGAGTAATTTTGTCCAAAAAGTTAATTAATTAGGGTGAAATAGTAAAAGCCATATTCATGTAAATAAATTTAAAAATAAGGGCATTATTGTCCTAAAATTTTATTAATAAGGGATATAATTGTAACAAAAAAATAATAATAATAATCCTGGTAATCTTAGAATACCTAAGAAAATGGAGGTAATCAGTTTACCTCCAATATTACCAATAATAACCACTATTGGTATTTGAAGATTACCAGTATCTTATATTACTTGACAACCAAATATGGTAATCAAGTAATATAAGATGACTTAACCCCAGTAATCTCTAATACCCCCCAACCAAACGCCCCCTTAGTGCTTTCTCGACGACATTTGATGAAAAATGCCAAAGTTAGTAGTTAGCACCTGCCTGCAATATATTTTCAAAACCCTAGAGGTAATATGTGAACAGAAAGCTCCATTTTGAGCATCAGATTTGTGTACTTTCTAGTGGGTTGATGGGGGCCAGATCGGTGGACAGATCGGAGGATTTTCTGAGGGATAAACTTATCGTTGATGCATGCTTTGGTAATATCCGATAATGACAATTATATACACATAATTTATGGTTGTCAAAGCATCCCACTTGATCATCTGTTGTGCAGCACCAAAATACTGAACCTGTATACTCTATTTCCTCACAAGGGTCTGCAGAACCTGATTAATCAAAAAATAAATTCAATATCTATTATCAATATTAATACTTGTTCATATGCATTAACAACTTACATTGATGGAGAGGCAAGATTGTTGCAAAGACAATGAAAACGAGAGCCAGATTAACCTAATTCAAACGCTTGAAAATGTTTTTCGCCATGGAAAATAATCTATAACAGATAGAGGGAGTTGAATGATGTGCAACAAAGTTTCTAGATCTTAATTTATATAACATAAGTTTTTAACCGAAGATAACCTAATTTTATTAGTTTGTTACATACTTATAACCTAACTTTCCTTCAAATTTTAGTCTTCAACTCTAATTTATAGTATATTGTTTAATTGTTGTCAAATAATAAAATGATAGTTAGAAAATCTATTTCTCCCTAACCATCTGGGTTATAGAACTTATTTCTTACATATAATAAAATTTTGAAAGTGTTGCGGTTTGGGACTAAACTAAACACTAATCAACCAATTAATCACAAAACAAATCAAGAACAAACAAACACACACAAGAGTTTACCGTGATTCACTTGCTTAAGATTTGAGCAAGCTACGTCCAGTTGAGCTCAGAAACACCAAGGCTCGCTACACTAAGAAGATCAATATCGTTTGTAGAGTACAATTTCAGATTCTCAAACACTACCCAACTCACTTTGCTAATCTATCACTCAACTCCTTTACCCTAACCTTTAAACCCAAGAGAAAGACTCCCTAAGCTTTTCTACCCATGAAGGAAACACCACCTTCACTCAACAACCCAATTGATTGCACCAAGATTACAAGAATTAAAGTAAACTAAAGAACCCAACAAAGCAGAATTTTACTGAGTTGAAGAAGAAGAGAAAAACAAATAAACTGATTTGTTCACTGTTGCTTTTAATTGGAGAGATGCCCTCTTTTATACCTTTGACTTTTCGAGGAAATTTCAGCCATTAGATGAACCTTGAATCAACCATCAGGATTGCATGAAGCCTAGACCAAAACAACAACAATAGACTTAAACTTATGCGGCTGTGGTTTTTTAGCTTCACACTTTTGCATTCTCCACCTTGAAGCTAACAAACTCCTCCAAGTTGTCCCTCAATTAGTGCATCAAGCATTGTACTGTTCCTTCTCAGCTCTGATGTGTTACCTTATATGCAATAAGTCCAAGTAATGCTTGAACTTTGATGCAGTCACAACCTTGGTCTCCATATCTGTTTTCCTCAGTTTGTATCTTCTCCAGGCATAGATGTCCACTTGAAATGAGATCCCTTACAAAATGAAACCTCACATCTACATGCTTGGTTCTCTTATGATACACAAGGTTTTTGCTCAAGTGGATGGCACTTTGATTGTCTGAATAGACAGTCACAAGTCCATCCAATAGGTTGGCTTCTTGTAGGATTCCCTGCAACCATATGGCCTCC